AGTGATTCAGCCCTGACTGCATGCATAGAGTGACTGAAGGATTTTTTTTCAATGAAAGGCTCATTATTTAACAACCCTGATGCCACTGCAAGCATCATTATAGCACATGACCACAGCAAAACGGACTCATTCCACAAGTCACACATTTAAGATTGCAAACGAAAGCTTTTATTCGTTTACTGTGTTAAGGTTGGTGATCATAATTGAATCTGTTTTGTTCGTGTTTTTTTCTCAGGCTGAAATTTCTTGAGTGTTAAGTTTCGATTTAAAGTTTGGAGTCATTTAAGGGTGAATTTGTGTCAAGCTGCAAACATGCAACTCAAGTCCATCACATTATGACCATCACATTGCAAGGTCAAATGTACTCATTGTCCTCTAAATGGACATGACTGTGAGCTCTGCCATCTCTTATGTTGGATGACGGCGGTGATTTCCTCACACACACATCCGAATGTGTGGACATCAGTGAGCAGTGACCAACATATTCATCATGTACACAAATCTAATTATGAGCATAATAGCCTACAAGGGACTTTATTAGTTCTCCTTAATGAAGCTTTTGTCTGCCAGTCCAAAGCATCGCGTATTTGTCCTCTGGACACCGCCACTGTTCTGTCTCATAGACGCACTAATGAGGATGTATTCACATGGCGTCTACAAGCTTAGAGTGGGCAGACAATAAGATCACCCAGAACAAAACGAAAAAGAAAAGATGTGGTTAATCTCTCTCTCTCTTTCTCTCTATCTCTCTCTCTCTCTCTCTCTCTCTCTCTCTCTCTCTGCCTCTTTCTCACTCTCTCGTAGTTAATTACAGGAGTTTAATTGGAGAAGTTGACTCTGTGGCGTGCGTAATTATCACTCAGTCTTTGGAGGCTGCATCTCATTGGGCCCCCGAGCGCATATCCGCGGTGCCGTAATTCAATTAAACTCTCCACTTAGCGAGTGCCACAGCCTCTCAGCACCCTTAAAGAGGCATGCCACAACCGCGCTGTAACACACTCGCTGCTAAACTGAGGCCAGAGGACAGAAACAGATTGTGCTCTGAATGTGGATCTTCTGCTGCTTCGGTCCTTTAAATTGGCCTGTATTGTTAAATGGAGCCAGTAACTTCTTAGGATTTGTATATTTGGCCACATTCACATTATAAGTCGTAACAGTTCAGATTTTCTTCTCTTAGATCTGTTGTTTCTGCCTTCACAGTCGTGGTTATGTGACCTATATATCTGAACAGGCCTCAGCCCTGCAAATCTTTCAGATTAGCTACTCTTGACACACTGTCAATGCTGCATAATGATGACTGTGATATGCACATAAGCAGAGAATTATGATATAACAACAGCATATCGCTGTTGTCGGAACAGAACCTCGTATCTCCATTTTTGACGTTTTTTAGCTTTTGACATAATTTATAAATGCCTGTTGCCCTTTACATTGTGAAACATTGCATAAATTTCGTAATGAATGGACCAAAATAAACGACCCAAAATGACTTGGAAAAAAGTCTGGTTCCATTGACTTACATTAAAGGTAAAGCAGTTTTTTTCCTTCTCCTGTAAAGTTATAATTTTGGAGAGACAAGGTTTTGTTCCGATAGCCACAATACCTATTCCAATCAGACCATTTGCACTGTGGTCACATAGCCATTTTTCAGTTATATCTGACCGAGGAGTACATATAAAGGTGGCTGATTTTTGTGTTCACACTACGTTGAAAATACCTAATTGCATGTTTGGTCAGCAGTTTAGCGTATTCACTTGAAATGATTTTCATTTTCATGTAAGAGTGTTGACACATGACTTCAGCAGGCTGAATAGAAGCTGAATCTGCTTGGTCTGAATTTGATTCTCTATTTTTCATCTTCCATTCACCAGTGAAAGTCAACTCACGTTCACATGAGTGTTAAAAATAGCGCTGAACGTCTGTCAACCATAGCACGCTGCTTATAATTCCAGCCGAGCCTTGTGTCTGCGTGGGAGAACGTGAGCTGTTACTGGGGTTGAAGGTCATTTCCGGGATGCCAGTGAATGTGAGCTTTCTCTCAGCAGCATTCTGGGCTTATGATATATTCCACTGTACAGTTCACAGTCAGCTGCTCAGACACGATCCACCCTGTAGTTAATGTGGGTCGTCTTCCACTAATTATTTAAAAAATTCTGCATAAGTAAATGGTTAAGACATTCTTCAAATGTGAAGAAGAGCCGTTTTGTCCCTTCAACAAAAATCAAACCACCTTGGGAGACACAACATTTTATGTCCATTTAACCATCTTGGCTATAAATATGTCTCAGTGTGTGCTAATGTGCTAGTATAGGCTAAAAATATAATACAAAAGAAAACACAGACTTATTTTGCTCTGCTTTAAGCTTTAGCTCAGGTATAGCCACTTTTCTCACATCTCTGGCAGGAAACTTTTCCACAAAAGTAGAATAGTTTCTTGAAAAATGTCTCTTAACGTTTGACTTTTTACAAGGCTGAAGCTTCTCATTCACCAGCTTCTTGTTTGAATTTTCTCATTCCACCTTAAATGGTGCCTGAGGCGCCAGAATGCACCTGCTGCACCATTTAAGGTGGAAAATTCAAAGAAGAAGCGACTTCAGCTTTGTGACTTTTTAGTGTTTGACAGTTTCTCGTTGCAGATTAAATGTTTCAGGAAACCAGCTGGAGTGATTATAAATGCGATTAAGTTCAGTGGTCGCCAAATTCTCAATGTTCATCTTAAATCTTTCTCGTTGCCATTTCATTAGCTACGAGCTAGGCGAGACTGTTGTCTGCGTTGCTATGGTGACCAGCAGTCTGCGCGCCAACCTTCAGGGTTAAAGGTTGATAAACTAGCAGTTATACGCTGTATTAACTCCAGTGCTTAAGACCATTTATTGTTAAACTGTGTTAAACGATCAGCAGAGCTTTATTTTACTGAAAAGGAGGATTATTTTATTTTCACCTATAAAATCTAATTCTGCTGTGGAGCCACAAAAGGGCAATAAAAGAGCCGCATGCAGCTCCGGAGCCACATGTTGCCGACCCCTGGGTTAGGATGTAAACAGTGTTATTCAGAGGGATTAAATGTGAAATGAGAGTCAGAATTGTTCACGGTGGTGGTGATAGGAACAAGACATCCAAAAAAGTTAATGCATCTAAAAATGTACTCACAGAAAGTTATTACATGAAAAGATTACAGATACAGTGCTTGATGCCTGAGAAGTAGTTCTGAGAAGGTTTTGTGCATAAAACATATTTTTTTTAAAAACCCATTCATGCCATGCAGGGCGTTGTAAGGCAAAATTCCTACCTTTTTAGATTTATCGTTGATTTACCATTATCAACATTACATATAAAACTCAGAATGCCTATGTGTGTTAATTGAACCTGGTTCCTATCACTACCACTGTGAAGACATCTGAGTTGGTAAGTTTCTACCATGAACCATTTCACATAAAAACACTGTGAATGTACACTCTCAGTGATGCAAAGATTTTGAAAAATCAGCGTGATTCCCCTTTAAAATGCTCGTAAAATGTAATGATTTGCCATACAAACATAAGTTTGCTGTAGATATCCATGTGTTTCTGAGTACAAGCGCTGAAACAGGAGTACCTTCTCAGAAACATCCATCTCACCAGTATGTTGGCAGTTTAGCACGAGCTGTGTGGTGTTGATGTGTTTGTCCCTCAGTGGTCTGGTGGACCCACCACATTATTGTTATTTAAGTCAACACAGCCATAACAATTTATGTACAAATACCAGATGTTTAAAATATCACAAGTGGTCAGCGTAGGGTTCTCCTTTAGCAGCTGTAGCCAGTCAGCAGCCTGTCCATGTTGTCCACCCTCACAAACACACACATATACAAACACATACACACAGACACACACACACTAACAGCAGGCCATGTAGGAGGAGAACAGAGTGAAGGGACACAGCACCTCCATACTTTTATTCCCGCGGGTTCAGCCCAACACCACATGTGTAATATAAATGTGTGGGGGGTGAACAGTGTGGAGTCACTGAAAATGTGTTATTTTGTATGTTTTAACAAAAATGAGCAAAGGCCAAGGAATCTAAGGTTGAAATAATAATAAATTGCATCACTTTGTCTTTTGGTAAAAACTGAAATGGGTCCCGCAGACCTGAACACCATACAAGGGGTAAAGTGGTTCTCTCGCATTAGTAGAAAAGGCTTCTCTTTAACAACAGCTCTGAGAGAGGAGAGGGGGTGGCATGACAGAAGGAGAGGGTGTGTGTGTGTGTGTGTGTGTGTGTGTGTGTTACGGGAATAAGATGTCACACCAGCATTTTGCGTTCCCACGGTGACATGCTGGCGTCACACACTGCGCATTGTGGGAGCGATATGAGCTTGTGTGAACACACAGCCTCTGTGGTGCCTAATTATGAATGAAACAGGTCTTATTTTAAGGGCAAAGTAAAAGAAAGTAGGCCAAAAATATCTCTCTCTCACTCTCTCTCTCTTTCTTGCTCTCTTTCTCCCTCTATCTCTCTCGAACACACGTGGGCACGCTTTTTGGGTTTCATATCTCGCTCCTCACAAAAACATTAAACTTTTTTTTTATTTTAATTTAGAGGCAAGACTTGGCAGAATCTTGAGTCTTTTCAGAGAAGCGGGGCCTGGAGTCAGATTAAGAGAGTCATCACACCCCGAAAAACAGCAACAGATGAAGAAGTGTGTTAGACTGGTGCTCTGTGGCTCTCTGCTGCCTCTCAGTGGTTATTCACAGAACTGCACTGACTCGAAAAGACTGCGCTGAGCAGAGTAAAAATTACAGCAGATATTTACATAGTAAATAATGTTGCACTTGAACAGTTTTTCTCTTTTCTTCCTTCACTCTCTCTCTCTCCCTCTTTCTCTGTTCTTTAATGTAAAGACATTCTGCTACACTTGTATTGCCAAAGTCTGTGGCAATACAAGAGAATTCTGTGTGTAACACTGTTAATGTGTAATAAAAGAAGAGTCTGTAATGAATCTCTCTCTCTCTCTCTCACAGCTATGGGGACATGGTTCCGAAGACGATCGTGGGGAAGATTTTTGGCTCCATTTGTTCACTTAGTGGAGTGTTGGTGATCGCGCTGCCTGTGCCCGTCATCGTGTCCAATTTCAGCCGTATCTACCACCAGAGCCAGCGGGCCGAGAAACGTCGTGCACAAAAGGTACCGCTCTGCTCAGCCTGACCCACTGGAGTCAATACCTCTGACCTCTCAGGGCCCACTGGTGCTGAATATGCAGGTCTGGCTGGGAGAGAGAGATTTACTGATTTAAGATTTTATGCACACACACACACACACACACACACACAAAGCTTTCAGAGTACCAGACACACAAACGCACACACGCACACTTAACAGACACGCAGAGAGAGTCGTTAATGCAGTTTGGCACAAGACGTTCTTGCCCTAGATGTAAGTGTATGTTTATGTGTGGTACATCAGTTTCAGTCTCTCTGGGACGGTCATACTCAGGGCAGATCCAGAATCCAACGCTTTATGTTGGCCACCGTTTTAGAAAAGCAATAAGCCACTTATTAAGGCTGCGCATTACTGCGATTTTAGCATGGCAAGGGTGTTCTTAGGTACAGCCTCTCATGGCTTATTGCTTTAGTATATAAGAATAGAGCTATAAAGCAGCAGTTCTCAAACTTTTTTAGTCCAAATTCTCCTGTGTGGATAGTAAATACCACTGTCCCCTCTCCCCGAGGACCATGTCTTATCAGAACCTCATCTATTTTGTTAGCTTTCTCTGCAGCTATTGCTGACCTGTACATACAAGAGACATGGCCCTGTTCTATGACAGATAACTCATTAAGTGAGTGTGGTATAGCCCTGAATAACACATATTTAACTCTATAACGATTAATACCATCTACTATTTTTAAACAAGTACCACCTTTCATGGCCTTTTTTATGACCTTTTAAGTCGATTTAATAAGCAGCATTAAAAATTCCTAACCTTTAAAAATTTTCTGCGGCCCTCAGCTTGAGACCTGCTGCTGTTGAGGATGGAGCTGCATTCAGAGGTGTTTAGACAACATCTTTTTAAATGCAAAGCATGCTTAAAAAGTAGCAGAACAAGCCTCTTAAACGGGGCAAGTTAACACATTTCATAGATAAGCAGGTAAACACAAAACAATACCGTTGACTGATTCAAGTGACTTGAACACTCTTTTACATTCTTTGTGCTCAAAAACAGTCAAAACTAGCTTTTCCTATGTTCAATGGTTAGAGAGAAGGTATCCTCGATTGGTGAGCTGTGATGACATACACTGCTTTTCCATGAATCTCAGTTTAACATAGTTTAAAGTGTGTTGCGCAGGCAAGAAGAGACCTTTCAGTTGAAGGTTGTGTTGCTTTTTAAATGACAATGAAAAGAAGTGTCCTTAAGAGTTTGAAAAGGCGCAATCTGAACACCCCCTTCAGGAAGCTTGGAAGCCTTTTCAGACTCTCTATGTGTGCTCCTTGTCAGTAATGTCTATGGAGCAACGTGCACTGCAGCTGAAAAGCACTTCTCTTTCCTTCACAACACACTTTTCATTTGTAAACTGCACGTTTCAGTTAAAAAATCATTAAATGGTTTGCATGGAAGCGTGGCATACATCATTGACAGCTGACCAATCAATATCAAGGATGCCTTCTACTCACTAATGCAACAGGTAGGAAAAGCTAGTTTTGGACATTTTTGAACACAATGAATCATATTCTGTTTTTTTGTTGTAGAAATATTATTTCTGTTTTCTGTTTACTATTGTACAACCCCAATTCCAAAAAAGTTGGGACGCTGTGTAAAATGTAAATAAATTTAAATAAAAACATAATGCAATGATTTGCAAATCTCACAGACCCATATTTTATTCACAATACAACATACAACACATATCAGATGTTGAAAGTAAGACATCTTACCATTTCATGAAAAACATTAATTCTTTTAGAACTTGATGGTAGCAACGCATCTTAGAAAAGTGGGACAGTGCCGTGTTTACCATTGTGTAGCATCCCCTCTTCTTTTAACAACAGTCTGTAAACATCTGAGAAGTGAGGAGACCAATTGCTGGAGTTTTGGGAGAGAAATGTTGTCCCATTCTTGTCTGATGTAGGATTCTAGCTGCTCAACAGTCCTGGATGTACGTTTTTGAGATGCGTTGCTGCTATCAAGTTCTAAATGAGTTAGTATTTTTCATGAAATCGTAAAATTACATGTTCTATTGTGAATAAAATATGGGTCTATGAGATTTGCAAATCATTGCATTCTGTTTCTATTTACTTTTATTGACATTTTACACAGCGTCTCAACTTTTTTTTGGAATTGGGGTTGTATATGTTAATTTCAAAATGTTGTTCAATCATCTCAGTCACTGGCATCCTTGCAAATCAATGTCTTGTGTTTACATGCCAATCAAATGTGTTAACCTACTCATTTTTTCAGGCACAACACGCAGCGTGCCTCACGTTTAAAAGGGCGTGGTGTGAACGCTCCCTCGTTCCTCTGAGGTTGATCGGTATGCTGAGCTGCAGCGCTGTGCTCTTGTGCTCTCTGCATGTTCTACTGCCCTTCATCTGACTGAGTCCAGGCAAACCATAAGAGACACAGATCTGATATCTCAATCACACACACACACAGACACACAAACACACACATACACATACACTGAGGAACGGACAGAGCTCTAAAACAACAATCTGTTTTTGCTGTTAAGAGAAGAGAGGGGAAAAGAGAGAGACAGACACAGAAACAGAGAGATAGAGAGAGGGAAGGAAAATAGAAAGAGTAAGAGAAGTAAAGGAAAAGAGAGAGGAAGGGGATGATGAGGTAAAAAGATTTGGGGTAGAAAGAGAGGGAAAGAAAGCGATGAAAGAAAAGGGGAAAAGAGAGAAAGAGAGAAGGGAAGAGAGCGAGAAAGGGAAAGACAGAGCAAAAGGGAGGGGAAAAAGAGAATAAAAGGAGAAGAGAGAGAGAGAGAGAGAGAGAGAGAGAGAGAGAGAGAAAGAGAGAGAGAAAGAGCATAAGAAGATGTCAAGGTTATATAGAACATGCAAGAAGCGTTCCTCAATAAGCATGCTTGCTTTCCACTCACACACACACACAGGTGTGCTATGAGGAGCGAGTGTTCGGCTAAAACGCCCGTGTGTTTGTCCGAACAGAAAACCAGGCTTGCTAGAATTCGTGCGGCGAAGAGCGGGGGTGCTAATGCTTATTTGCAGTACAAACGCAATGGGCTGCTGGCCGACGCCGAGGAGGAGGTAACCGTGGAAACCGCAGGGGTCTCTGGTGCTGGGACGTTGCTGTGCCATTACGGGCTGGTGCTGGTGCATGCGGATCCTCACCCCCCTGACCTTTCACCTTTCCACCAGGGGCCGGGGGTCCGGCAGGGCTGCCTTCATCCAAATGCTTTTGTGGTGTCCTCTAACTGCTCTCTCTCTCTCTCTCTATCTCTCTCTCTCTCTATCTATCTATCTCTGTGAGGCTACATCTCTTACTGTCTCTCTCTGTACTCTCACTCTACCCTCTCTCATTGCTCTCTCTCTCTTACTCATATTCTCTTAAATGCTCTTTCATCTTCTGTCTCTCTTTCTACACTCACTGTTCCCCAGTTTCAGTTGAACTATTATTCATTTTCTCTTTATCTCCCTCTCTTTTTCTCATTCTTTTTGAGATGCATCCATCTGCAGACCCAGAGAGGTGGCAGCAGTCTTAGGTTGCAGTTTCAGGGAATGAGACTTTGCTGTGTTAGTGTAACACTTGTTCTACAAGAATAACACTTAGGTAGCTAGTATTGTGATAGCATTATACTTAAATAGCTTGCAGGCAAGTGTAACTTTTAGCTTAAGGTACTATTTTTTCCCTCATGATAGTCAAGTTAACAGTTGCTAACTTAAGATAATTAATTTCCCTTGTCTAGCAAGCTGAAGGGTGTTTTTCCACAGTACAATGTACTAGAACTCTGGCACCAGTCCACTGGCCTCCTGTCCAGTGTCAAATGTTCCAGTTATATGGTTTTTGGTACCTATTCAAGATTGGTACCAACAGGACAAGATACCCAAAGATGTTCTCCTCTGTCTTTGCCCTGCTAAAAAGAGCAGCCTAGACCAGCAAAACCAAGATAGCAAGCATATATCAATCTCCTGGCTTGATAAGGTCAGCACCCCGCTGACCGTTTGCCACTGCTGGTCCACCCTCGGACCACCCAGGCTACTGTCCTGCACACAGGCTCTAACTAGTTTTTAATCTCCTCAAACAGATTTTAAATACTCAGTTTTTATTTTAGAAAATAATCTAAGACAAATATTACAAACATCTGAGAGAAAAAAACACTAGAAAAGATATAAAATGATTTTAGAGAAAATGTTGTTGCTGACAGTGTGCTACATTAAAGTTATTAAGAAAGAAAGGAAGGAAGGAAAAATAAGTACATTAAAATACACTATGAGTGGAAAATGACTAAGGCTGAATGGAATTTTGTCTAATACTCAGCTTAACCACTGGTGGGCCGCTCAGAAAATGCTGAGCAAAACACCAGTGGACCGCCAGCTTTGCCAACAGTGGGCCAACAGTGGCCCACTATCCTCTTGCTAGCAGGGGTATAACAGCTTCCATAGCTGCTGACCAGCACAACAGCGTCCAAAACAAAACATGTGCTGGTTTTGCTGCTAACTAGCTATTCTAGTCCTTCCTGTTTTTAGTATGATAGTAACACTTTCAATTGAAGCCTCAGATTATTTAGCAAATTCTTTACATTTCCAGGTGAAAATAAAGTCTCCAAGCACTATTACATCAGCAATAAGAGCAACAGAAAGTAAACCGGAATGGTATTTTGATGTGAATTATTACTTTGTGAAAGGTTTGCTAAGGTGACAGAAGCTAGTTAGGAAGCTAATGCTAAAATTAGCTAGCCTCCACAGATTGTTTTGGCTTATCACAGAGTCTTTGTCAAGCTTTGTTTGATTCTACACATGAATCTATGTACCTACAGACATATGTGTGTGTCTGAGTGCAGAAAATAACACTGTATTTCATGTCAGCACTAAGCTAAGCTAACTAATAGGCTAGATAGCTAAAGTCGCTTCACTCTCTGGACAAAAAACTGAAGCTTTACTTGAATCTACATGAGTCTGTGTACATAGACATCTGAGGTGAGTGTATGCATGCAGTATATAGCGTTTCATGTCAGTACAACCTTGTTTAGCCGATATCCCTGAAAGCAAGAGGATAGTGGGCCACTGTTGGCCTGCTGATGGCAAAGCTGGCAGTCCACTGGCGTTTTGATCAGTGTTTTTTCTGGGCAGCCCACTGTTGGTTAAGCAGAGTATTAGAATTCCACTTAACATCGCTCAGTTAACAAGGCTCTGTGCATTTAAAATCTGTATGGGTCGATTAAAAACTAGTTAGAGCTTGTATGCAGGACAATAATCTGGGTGGCCCAAAGGTGGACCAGCAGTGGCAAACAGTCAGTGGGGTGCTGACCTTATCAAGCCGGTGGACCGATACAAGCTTGCTATCTGGGATGTTAGGCTAACTGGCAAACAAATTAGCTAATCAGCCAAATTTTATGCTTTAGAGTGTCATAGAATGAGCAAAAAGAATGTTTAAATTGCTAATTGTGGTTATAATGAAGGTTCTAGCTGTCTATCAAGAAGGTGGAAAATGAACTAGAACTACAACTGTAACCTCCGCTGGCTCTTGTTTAGGTCAGCTCTTGTTTTTAAATGTACAGTGGAAAAACATACTAAATTAAAACGTGGAAAAAATTCTAAGCAACTGCTTGTCTGGAACTGTTACGGCTCTCAGGGCTCTGCAGATGGTTGATGTGAGCTCTTTCACACTTTCTCTTTCATGCTCTCTCTCTCTTTCTCTCTCTCCAGTGCAGCATTGACTCTCTGCCTTGATCACGTCCTCTCTCACACCTAGGAGTCAGTGCCTCTTTCCTGGTGACCAGTCATGTGACACTAATCATGTGACCTCATGTGGCTAGGGATCCCTTCTCAACGGGGCTGCCACTCCTCTACTGCAAACCCTCTTTCCATCTCTCAGTTCCTTTCTTCTCCTTCTTCTTCTTCTTCTTCACCTGCTTTCTCTACTGCTACTACTACTTTCTTTACTACTACTACTTACCTGTGCTCCATGCCTTTTATAACATGCATTTTTGAGTGATCTCATCTCGGCTGCCCAAACTGGCCTGCGCTCTCTCCTTCCTCATGACATCATCCGAACGCATCATGGATTCCATCCCATGGAGGAATGAGAATGTTTGAGCTGCATGTCATTGATTGGCCAGCATTTAAACTGGGGGCGGGACCTGGGAGTGGGGAAAAGGAACAGATTCAGAGGCCTTGAGGAGTGTTGACTGGATGTCTGTGCGAATGTTTGGACATGTTACACGGACATGCAGCAAACACAGTGCTTCAAAGAAATGAGATCTGAAATGAGTGCGGTGACCCAGGGTTCAAATGAAGCAGACGCTTTCCCATTTCCATAAGTTTAGATAGGCATCATACCCGAGGACTGTCTAGTTCTGCTGCTGGAGATCTGGAATCCAGCACTGTTTGCTGATCTCCCTAATCTTACACACTCACTAAAACTGACAGTTTACAGAAGAGTTCAATCAGATACGTTTCAGCTGGAAATCACCAAACTGTGATGGATACCAGATCTCCACTGGAACTGAATACACCCTGTCATGGGCTTAGCTATCATCGCTGTGTCACCCAAAAAGCAAATACAGCTTCTTGCATTTGAGTAACACACATTTCAGATTTTGAATTCTGATTGAATCATGACTTCATGGATATTCCAGATGTGGTTTGTAGATAACATCTGTGTTACCCAAATACACCAAGTCCCTGGCTGTGGAGGCCGGCTATTTATTTAAAGCTACAGAAATTCATTCCACGCGCACTCAGGCCACACTTCTCGTGCGCCTGCCGTCCGCTGCGTTTGAACTGGGAGCCATCCGTCACCGCTGTAACCTGGAGAGAATGAGACAGGCACAGTGGCACACAGCCTAATGTTGTCACAACGTTTCAAACAGTTGTGAGAGCTCTGGCCTTACTGTTCCCGTGATCTCGTCTTTTCTCTCTCTTTTTTTTTTCCATCTGTACTTTTGTGTTATGATTGGCTCATGATCTGTCACATTGTTTTGTTTCTCCTGTAAGGCATCGAAGGAGGCAGGGAAGGCGCTGGTTTGTAAGGTGAACCCCACATTCGAGACCCAACATCATCATCTCTTACACTGCCTGGAAAAAACAACGGTAAGACTGTGTGCATGTGTGTTTGGTTTATAGTATGTCATTTGTGAACAATTTGTTCTTTTTGAATTAATCTTTTGGGTGAACGAACTGAGCTGATTCGGTTTCTCCAGCCAGTTTGCTCTGCTATATTAAATATGGTGACATGCACATTAATGATTTACTATCACATTGGTTAAAAAAGGCTAAAAATGGTTTTGAAACAGCTCTAGTCTGTTCATGCATCTGTTCTAGAAGAAATCCACACAGTTATAGCCTGCAGAACTGGGTTATGCATATAGTAACAAAAAGGATTGTTCATCTGTGGCAGCTGAGAGCCCATTTAAATTAAGCCACTCCATGTCTGGATAAGATTTGTCTGTTTACTTTGGCCACAGTTACACAAATAGAATTCCGATTTGTGTCTGTGCTGCTATTCCTGCGTTATACGCAAATTCAAAATCCAAGCTATGAAGTTACAGTCATGTGCAAAATTGGAAATGACGTTTTGTTGTTTTATGAAAATAAACACATTGTAACGTTACAGAATGAGTCAGACGCTCGCGGACAAAAAGGGAAAAACCTTTGCTGTTTGAGTCGTGATCCAAACTTGTGGTCAGTAAACAGGCACAGGTCAGATCCAAAACAGACAAAAAATACAAAAAACACAAACATAACACCAGGCAAACAGTCCAAAAGGGGTCAGGCAAAAAGGCAAAGTCAAAGTACAGGAAAATAAGTCAGAATTAGGAAATAACAATACAGAAATGGACTTCTCAGTACCTCGAGGAAAGAAGCGATACCTCGCAATGAGTTGAACTAAAAGCCCAGGCTTTATACTAACACGAACTAGAGGACAACAGGCGAAACAAATCAGTATTCTGGAGACAGAAAGCGGTGATTGGTGTGTGATAGAGAACTGTGTTGACCTGCCCTGGTTGCATAAAGACAATAGCAAGTTGGCAAACAAAACATATTCCAAATGCATGGTTTCTCACCTTGCACTCCTGGACCATGGCAGTGGTGGTTAGTGGAACATTTGCTAAGCGGTGAATGGATGAGGCAGACATTCAAGAAAGCATCCGGATTATGATCGACTGTAACACAATGACAACGGTTGTGCCGTTAGGAAAGTTCCCAAGACAGCTGATTAGATTTTAGCATAATTGCTAATGGGGGCCCCCTAGTGCCTTGGGCCCCTGGGCAGGCACCCAAAAAATAATGGAATGATCTGGGCCTTTCTATCAGCCTCCCAAAAAAACTTATTAGAAGGAGCATCAAATAGCACTAATAATAAACAATAGTCTATACACAGGTCTATGTGTTAGTTATGATTGTTGTTTATGTTTGAGTATCCTTTGTTAAAATGCTAGGCTATTTTTGCGGTCAACGTAAGAGTTTTTGGGCTAACGTATTTATTTGTCAAGTGTCCTACAAGCCACTGCAAAAATTAACATATAGGAAGTGTTTTTTACTGAGATGCAGTTTAATCAGTACATATGTAGCTACTGTAGTTTACGGAACTGTGTTAATCTGTTGCAGCAGTTCACAGATTACACCATGATTCATGTGCTATTCCAGACTCCTGAAACACTGAACGATTCAGGGAATGAATCAAAAGGAATGAATCAGTTCAGTGAGCTGAGTCAAATGATTATGAATCTTTGAAAAGGACTGTGATGCCCACCGCTTCAGAAGCAAAAGCATAGGATATAATCTCCTTCTTTTTTTTAAGCCTTTTATTCTTTTCTTAAGTCTCTCTCTCAATCTGTCTTTCTTTTTCTCTCTGCTTTTCCTTTGGCATGAGACTTGTTTACGCTGGATTGATGGATTGACCCAGTATGAAACTGGCAGCTGTTCCCACAGTATTCTTTTTTATTTCCACTTAGCCAATGGCGAGTCCTTAAGATAATACCTCTGTCTGCGATAAACATTACTCGCACTCATCATTTATAACTGCTGTCGAGTTGCATTCGTTTTATTCCCCATATATGACTTCATTTGAACAGGCAACAGTGTTTCCTTAAATATCATCAGAAACCTTTCACACGTCGCATTAACAAAGCGCAGGGCCCGTCTGTGTTTGTTTTAGTCTAAAGCACGCTTGGCTCCCGCAGCCGTAAATGAACGCTCCGTCTCGGGAGACCTTGTTAGGAGGCTGCTGCCAAGAAAATGACAGTTAGTGTCTCCCTCTGCCAGCCAGACTCGCTGCAACACGGGCCGTGACCCGCTCTTCCTTATCTAGGGCACTGCTCAAGATGTCTGAATGGAAAATTCCTCCGTCCTGCTGAGGGTACTGCTGAAGCGCTGGAGGCTCATTTGGGACGCGGCCAAAGCAACGGCGCATCGGAGCTCGGGGACTTTCTGTGATCTCCATTTAGGCTGGGTCGGATTACTGACAAGCCTGCTTGATGTTTCTTTTACAGACAGGGTTTGTTTGTCTCAGGCAGATTTGCGCTGCATTCAGTAGCCGGTGTCAGTAGTTCACTGTGTTGGTTTCATTCGGTGCAGATGAGGAGGGTGGTCCGAAAGAGCGTGACAAGCAAGAGTTATGATGGTTCAGTGATAGTGCTGCTTTTCGTGCCAGAGAGCCTGTTGACATCTTCGACCATTAGATGTCTAGAGCTACCAGTGCAGCTCTGCTATACATTTGTTTTACATACATTACATAATTAAATATCATAATTAATCATAAGATTTGTTACATAATAACGAATATTTACATTCAGTTTCTTTCAAGTATTTTTCTTTTGAGTTTCAAAATGACAAAAACATGGCAGAAATGTAAGGGATGCTTTTCATTTCACAGAACAAGGCTTTTCATCAACTTTGCATCAAATTATCATGATAAAATATTTATTCAGTAACCCTTTATTATGGGGGGCATAATAATGATCTTATTAAGCCTTATTAAGCCAGTAGGTGGTTGTCAACTGGCTATTTAATGTTACTTTATTAAGCAGCTATTAGGGTGGATTAAGCATTTTCCAAGCACTTATGATGCTTATCAAGCCAATAGCTGGTTATTAACTGGCTACTTATAAGTTGTTCATAAAGCAACAACTAGGGTGGATAAAGAATTTTCTAGAGAACTTGTTATTGTAGAGAAAAAAGTGTGGAGAAATTGTATGTTATAATGCCCTTATAATGCTCTTATTAAGCCTTATAAAGTCAGTAGCTGGTAAATATAAGGGTGTGTCATAATGCCCTCATAATGCTCTCATTAAGCCTTATTAAATCAGTAGCTGGTAATTATAAGGGTATGTTATAATTCCCTTATAATGGTCTTATTATTCCTTATCAAGTCAATGGCTTAACTAGTTGTTCATTACTACTTTATTAAGCAACAACCGGAATGGCTTGAGCATTTTCCAGGGGACTAATGCTTATTGAGCCAGTAGCTAGTAACTATCTGGCATTAATATTTTTTTATGTGGAGCACTTATACTTTTCAAATATACATCATGATAAAATTGTCTATTATTATGCTAGTAATGAAGACAGTCAGGGTAGATTAGGCATTTTCCAGAGCACTTTTAATACTTATTAAGCCAGTAGCTGATAATTAAGTGGCTGCCTATTACTACTTTATTAAGCAGTAACTAGATTGAATTGACCCCTCAACAGCCCAGACATCATAAGGCTTATTATTCAGTGACTATATGGACTACAAGGCAAAGAGTTATTCTTAGGTCATAGAAGTGTGCAGTACAACTTTGAGCCTGCTGTTGGGCCCTGGTCATTTAAAGGGTTAAGCATATTGCAGAGCACTGTTACTTTATATTATACATATTAATAATGTGCAAAACCCTTCCTTAAGCATTGAGGCTTCGATGTGCTTATTTTGTTTTAACTCCTAAAACCTCAATAATAACTCTAAATAAAGACAAACATGCCTTCCATTCTTAGTGGGAAATTCTAGGTTATACCTGTTAGATTGCATCTCATCAGATTGTATAAGCAAAACATACAGTGGAAGTGTTCATATCAATAAATGATCTGTTAAGATTATGACACGTAATACACAATAAACTTGTTCTGGAACACCCTAGTTATTAAGTAGTAATGAAAAGCCAGTTACTAACAACTGGCTTAATAAGGCTTAATAAGAGCATCGCAAAGGCTATATAATGTCACCCTGTATTGAAGTGTTATTTTCATTTTCTCTTCTACCTATGAACGTAAATCTTGTGATGACTGAAATCTTGTGCTGAACTTCTCTGCTTGTTTTAATGAGAGAAGAATGAAATAATGCATATGAAGGACACTGTTTTTGTGTCTCTGATAATGACTGTGAATTCTTAGGGTTAAATCTGTTTTATGAATCAGAACCATCAGAAGTGCCTTTTTTAGCCAAGTAAGACATCACTTATAGGAGTTTGTCCTGGCAGTAGCTCCCATTAACATCTATTTAAAAAAGCAAAAACAGGAAAGGAGACAGAAGAAAGAGCAGTAAAAGTGATAGAATAGCACATAGTGCACATATTAAAGATAACTGCTGTACATGCAAAACACATTCTGCACAGATTCACTATGTGTAAAAATTAAACAGTACTGTACTGAAAAATACAGTAACTGTGCCGTCTAATAGACACTGAGCTGTGAGTGATGTTGTGTTGTTTAGATACAGTCATGTTCCCTCAGACACTCTGAGTTATTAAATGTGTAGAGGAGCAGAGACGTCTGCTCAACTGGAATTGCAATCAATATATATATTTTTTTTTTGCTCCTATCTTTCTCTCTCTCTCTCTCTCTCCGTCCTCTTTGTCTCTCTCTCTCTCTCTCTGTATCTCTCTGTCTCTCTCTCTCTCTCTGTATCTCTTTCTATCTCTCTCTCTCTTTCTCTCTCACTCCCAATCTTTCTCTTCCTCTCTATCTTCTGTTTCTCTCTCCCTCAATCTCTCTCTACGTCCTTTCTCTCTTTATCTCCCTCTCCCTCTCCTTCTCTCTCTCTCCATCCTCTCTTTCTTTCCCTTTCCCTATGTGGTCTCTCTCTTTTTCTGTCACAATATATCCCTCTCTTCTCTCTCTTTGTCCTCTCTATTTCTAATTATCTCTCTCACTCCATCTCCTCATCTCTGTCTTTCTCATTCCTTTTCTCCTGTCCTCCTCTTTCTCTCTTTCTCTCTTGTCTTTCTCCCCTCTCTGTCTCTCTCTCATCCTCTTTTTTCTCTCTCCCTCATCTCTCTTTCCCACTTTATCTTTTCTTGCTCTCTCTTTCTAACTCTTTGCCTTTCTGTCTCTTTTTCTCTCCCACCCACCATCTCTCTCTCTTTTTCTCTCTTTCTCTATCCCACTCTCTTTCTCTGCCTCTCTCCCTCCCTCTCTCTCTCTCTCTCTCTCTCTCTCTCACTCTAGAACCACGAGTTCGTGGACGAGCAGACCTACGAGACAAGTTGTATGGAGGTGTCGATGGTGAAGCCGTCCACCTCTCGGTCCTCCTCCGTCTCCTCCTCTCCTCACGGCCTCACATCCTGCTGCTCGCGCCGAAACAAGCGCAAGAGCTTCAACGTCCCCAACTCCAACATGACCGCTGGCCGCCGCGGCAGCGTGCAGGAGCTCAGCACCATCCAGATCAGAGAGAGGCCACTCAGCAACAGGTACACGTACGGGCCCCTGCAGGCTGGAGCTCCTCAGCAGAGACGGCCTCACTCTCACACACTGACATGCATAATTCTGCATTTAATTCGGGCATTACGCCAACAACGCCAGCAGGTCAGCCATCAGCAGATGTGCCCTCTTCAACAACTACTCCAGCAGAGACATGGAAACACTCACAAACAAACACAAAAGCACACACACACACACACACTCTGCTGGTGCTGATGTTAAGGCACTTGAGTAAATAGAGATGAGTCAGAAAGCCAGGGGTCTATTCAGCTTCCCACATTCTCAGATCTCTGAGTGTTTATAATACTGATTGTCTGAGTGAGCTAGAGCTTATTCAGTCAGTGTGTTTGTGTGTCAGCTTCTGTAATCAAGGTAAGAAGATGTGAACTACTCTTTCAGTCCCGTATAGGTGATTAATCAACATTTGCTCGCTGTTTTCCAGTCTGTGTACTCCCTGTGAACTGAATAAGCAAGAAACATAAATGATGATCAAAAATACCAAAAATTTTTGAAGTACTTCAAGGCACCCAAACATACCATCAACAAATCACTACTAAACTAACAACAACAACTACATCAACTAACATTGACTAAATTGGACATTTTACAGTGCTGTGAAAAAGTACTTTCCCCTCTATTTTTGCATATTTCTTACACTAAATGGTTTGCAAATAAGAAAACAACAACATGCGGAAACACAAAACACATTTTTTAAACAATAGTCTCATTTCGCTGCTGTTGGAACAAAACCTTCTCTCTCCAAAATGGTGACTTTACAGGAGAAGGAAAAAAAAACTTTACTTTTAGTGTAAGTTAATGGAACCAGGCGTTTTTCCAAGTAATTTTGGGCAGTTTCTTTTGGTCCGTTCATCATGAAATTTACACAAAATGTAAAGAACAACAGGCATTTTCAGATTATGTCAAAAACTGAAAAATGGAGATACGCAGATTTGTTCTGACAGCAGCAATTTATCGAGACATTTTTAAGTTAAATTCTCCATTTTTTATAGTGCATCACAACTTGGTTCAAGTAAGGACTTTGACATGATCACTCAGAAACCTTAATTTTGTTTCTTTTAAGCCATTCAGAGGTGGGCTTGCTCTTCGGATCATTATCTGGCTGCATAAGACAATTGCACATAAGCTTAGATCATGGACTGATTTCTAGACATTCTCTGGTAGACAGCAGAACTCATGACTTTGAAGCAGCAAAGCATCCTCACACTACCACACTACCACCACCATGTTTTACTGTTGGTGATGTTTGTGGAATGCTGTGCTAGATATACTCCAGATGTAACAGAATCTACCAAACAGGTTCATTTTGAGTCATCAGTGCACAGAACATTATTCTATTCTTCATGTTAAAACTCTTGGGAGGCTATGAAGGTGTGTTTTACCGAATGTGAGACAAACCTTTATGTTCCTTTAGGTTAGCAGAGCCTTGCAACTCTCCCATGTATTCCATTTTTTTTGCCTGGGTTCTTTCTTTTGTTTTAACATCTGAAGCAATTAAGTGTGACAAATCAGCAAAAACAGTAATGCTTTTTCTCAGCACTGTCTGTTTCTGACCATAAGACCACTGTTGACCAGAAAGAATTTTACCCCTTTTCATGGTAGCCACATAATGCCATTTCTGCCTGTTTTGGAGATCCCTCAGGTTTTGCACTATCCATTTTATCTCACCATGTCTTTGTGGAGAAGCATGAATTGTTTTGCTCCCCTTTCACCTCTCACTGCTCACTAGCAACTCAACACAGAGTCACAACATTTCACACGCAGGGAGCCAACAGTGTCCTCATCAGTTCCACAGGTGGAACAGCCACTAGGGACCTGCAGAAACAGGTTACACACTGACAGCTGGAGAGAACGCCACAGCAACCGGAAATAAATGTGTTAACACCACAGCTGTGGAAACCAAAGTCACTAAGCAACAACTCCAGCATAACCGAGAAACAAAGTCTTTGCTCATCTCCATGAAAATGGCCTAAAGTAACAGTTTTTATTTGAAAAAAATATAGATTTGATTTTGTGCTACACTTATTAGAGGAATATTGTCATGATCTAGTGTAAACAAAATTCTAATTCAACACACAACAGAAACACAAAATTAACTCACTTTAACAACACATTTTAGCAACTACTGCAAAACTGATCTTTCTGCTGAAGTACAAAAGCAGGCTACAGCAGAAGGAAGTCAAATTAACACCATGTCTTATCAGAAAGCGACACAAGTGAACGATGATGACAAAACCGAAAGGCTCCAATTATTATTAATGAAGCTTCAAGTCTTTATCAGCAGTAAGCAGCAGAGTGTGATGCATTATCAACTCGTTTCTATTTATGATGTGTTGCATTGCTCTACCATTCCACCTCAAAATGAATGAGGAAAAACTCTTCCATGAAGTGGAGAAAAGGAGGGATTTTTCTCCATAACGTAATATTATTATCTAATAATATTTCTGCAAGGAGGGACTGAAGGGATCTCTCTGACTCTTCCAGTAAATATTATAAGAATGTTAACAAAAAAGAAACAATTTGGAGAGCCTGGATTGCCAGAGTGCTGGAAGTTGGTAAATAAATACTGTTTGATTTGTGTCACTGATTGATAAGGATGCTTATCTAGTTACCTAAGTAGACACTAGTTAGCAGATACAACCAAGCTGCCTAGCACAGCTAGGATTACGGGTGGGTAATATGACTACATCATACTTATAACAAATTAATTACACATGCAGTTGGCTAGTGTTCTTTAAGTTCTGACAATATCCACGATTAGGCGGATATAATTGGAATTACTGAGGTGAAATCTGTGAAATGTTGAATAAAAATCATTATATTCATGGTATTTTGTAGTAATAATCTTTAAATTCAACATTACTGGTTCTTTTTTGTCTGTTTCAACTTATCAAACTAAAAAAAAGGAAATATCATGGTGCATATTGTGTACTGTGAAAATGTCTTCATGTATTGTGATATTATATTTTTGCCATATCGCCCACCCCTAGCTAGGAAGTCAGGCATGGCTGGGTGAGTTTGGTGTGAAAGAGCTTGACTGGCCCACACAGAGCCCTGACCTCAACCCCAGTGAACACCTTTGGGATGAACTAGAGCAGAGATTGTGAGCCAGGCCCTCATCCAACATCAGTGTCTGGCCTCACAAATGCTCTTCTGGATGAATGGGCAGAAATTCCCACAGACACTCTCCAAAATATTGTAGAAAGCTTCCCAGAAGAGTGGAAGCTGTTAGGGCTGCAAAGAGGGACCAACTCCATATTACTGCTTATGGATTTAGAATGGGATGTCATAAAAGCTCTTGTCCCAACACTTTTTATAGTGTATTTCTGATAGGTGTGTGGTTTGTTTATGTTTTAACGTGGCTCATGCACTTGATGTGTTACTACATTTGAAAGCTCGCTTGTTGAAAGGCGTGTTGCACAAGTACAGTTTTTTCCGGCCACTGATAAGAATGTTGCTTGGGGTATCACTGCTAGGCTGAGAATTTCCAAAAAATATCCAACCATGAGCAGCTTTTGGTCAGAAAGTGACCACTGATGAAGAGCTAAAGGATGACTAACACAAATTGTGTGTCAGCAGATCAGCAGACTGATTTTATAGTGAGGCTATAAGGCAAGTGTTTCTAATAAAGTGGCCAGTGAATGGAAGTATATGTAGGTGTGTCATAAAGAGGATGATAGTGCAGGTCAACAACAGCACCATGACTAAACAACGCTTAGCCATAAACTTCAGCCTTGTGGAAGGAGTCGGTATGAGGAAGCGGAGCAGTGTTTCCGTGACTCATTCTGCGGGAATGTTGCAAATGCTCCAGCTGTGGCACCCACTTGCCTGTGTGGTCTAATGGACAGCTGGGGGAATCTCACTCTCTTTCTCTCTCCCTCTCCCCCTCTGCAGTCGCTCCAGTCTGAACGCCAAGTTTGAGGAGACTGTGCCGCTGAACTCGGAGCAGCAGCCCTACATCACGGCGGCCATCATCAGCATGCCCACTCCGCCCGTGACCACACCCGAGGGCGGAGACTCGGCCAGCTCGCCTGACTTCTTGCAAAGTAACATCGTTCGAGTGTCAGCACTATAGACCTTGTTTATCCCCTTTTTTATTCGGCGGACGGACGCTGGCCAGGGAGGGGATTGGCGGGAAGCCCTCCCCCGCAACGCAGAGGGAGGCCACGGCTTTGACCCTTTATTTCAACTCCTGCCCACAGCCCTGCTTTCTCTGCACTGGGGCATCAGCTCTGCCTCTGGAACAGGCCGCAAAGGCCGCCGACGTAAGCCCACCAGGCTTCTACTCACAGAAGGGGACTCAAATGAAAAAAAAAATGACCATGATTATCACGCTTGTTACAAATTGCTATGGTTTTTAGAGTATTGTGTGTCTTCACATTTGTTGTCTTAAGCTTGGTGGTGGAGAGAGCGAGGTGAGCATTTTTTGGGGGCTGTAGCTTGGTGTCGGGTGTGCATTTGGGTGTTTTTTTGTTTGGGGGGGTCCTAGTTTCTAGGCTATTATCATGCTTTTAGAGAGGTTTGCTCCAACAGAGCTACTTTTGATACTACGAGTAAAGCTGAGGTCTTTCAGTTCGAGAGGGATTCCGAGTGTGTGAGTGTGCGTGCACCTATGTGGATGTGAGAGTGTGTGTTTAAGACTAACCTTCTGCATGTTTTGCATTCGTGAGTCTGTGTCTCCTTTCGAGTTTTGGCATGAGCAATAAGGGTTTGTTCTTTTCCGGCAGCGTGTGTGCTCGTATTTTATTTGTTAACACCATGCCTGGTTAAACCTCATTAATCAGCAGTCCTTTCCTCTTTATTCCACCCACACTGCTCTGAAAGTACAGTTATTGAACACATTAAAAGTAGGTTTTGTGAACAGGAAAAGCTCTCTCTCTCTTTCTATCTCTCTCTCTTTTTCATTCTGCCTCTCTCAGTTTAGTTCTATCTTGAGACCTGGCCTAATAGCGTTAAATGGATCATTGATAATATAGTTCAAACAGCAGGACCAGGCGGTGTGGCCTTCCATACAAAATCAGTGGACAATGAAGCCGCTGCTTCTTTGAGAATGTTGCCAGTTTCCTTCGAGGAAATATGTCAGTCATTCCATTTTTATTGTCAAACGTTTTGAATATACTGTGAAAGATTTATTTTTTTCAATGTGCAAAACATGCATGATGTTCTAATGACCACTGGGTTATGGACCAGCCAGGCCACCATACCCTTATGTGCTTTTAGTTTGTGTCTTTTCTTAGTGTACCACTATGATACCTTGGATCCGATGGAGATTAAAGAGGCACTCTGGCCAAAAACAACTTTTTTAAACATGCCTACTGACCTCCTACAGCAGTGCTTAAAGACTAGGAAAAACACCTTCTGATGATGTATCTTGAAGGTGAGGCTACTGCAAAAGGGAGCCAAATATAAAAAGGGGGCCAGATATCACTTCTGTACTTAGTAGCCTCTACATCAGTGGCTTGCATTCAGAATGTCTAGCACCATGGGTGGGGGTTGCCTAATGATTGTAGAGCATATTTGCGCAGTGCATGTTGGGTATTGTAGTAAGAGAACAGTGATGGATGAAAACCTTAATAATATCCCATAATATGACAAATAACATATTAAGTGCTGGTTTTAGGCTGGACTGGCCCTTTAAGTAGAGCTCAGGCACGAGGACAGACCGTTAGACGTGTTGTGACCTAATTGGCTCAATAATAGGATCAACACGTCGTGGGTTTATCACTATATGGTGGATTATTTTATCAGCGCTGCAGCCCCCGCTCCTACTCACTGCCGAATATCAAAGCAAATGTATTCACAAAGCCCCCTCTGAGTCAGAGAGATGAATTAGTCATATCTCTCTATCCTTTCTCTCTCCGCTCGCTCTCTCTGTCTTGAATTAGCGAGAAATTAGCATATAATATCAAAGGATAATTTTTTTATGTCGTTTTCACTTATGTCAGGATGATTTAATGTGCGGAGAAGGCTTGAATATGGCCTGATGTACACACACACACACACACACACAAACACGCTCCCACCACTGCCCGCCTTCTGCTCAAACCCCTCCCCCATTGCTTGACCATGTGACTTATGCAACAAGGTTCTTTTTGTAAAGATACGCTTTGTATTAAAGGGGATATTCGGGGGGAATAGAATCACACATATTTTTCAAAATCAAACGGTGTTGATTATATATTATAAATGTTATTTCGGTTGTACAAAAGAGAAAAAAGAGGAAAAAAAGGGGAAAAAAACTCTGAGAGAGACTGTTGCTAGTGCACCTGTGTTGTAAATTTGTTCTTTGGTGTAGTAAATATTTATCTGAGTTTTATCGTCACCATCACGGACGGCCGGCCCTGCGTCCCGCTCTTGAGTCCTGGCGCTCCAGGAATGACAAACTGTACCTTTGTTTTTTTTTTCTCTTTTCTTTTTTTTTTCTGTTCCAAAGTGGAGGACGAATGTGATTGCATGTGATGGCGGAGGCCTTTCGCAGACGGGTCAAGGAAACGACCGCCATGTCCGTCTCGGACTCATGGGAGGCCTTCTGACTCAGAGTGGGGAAAACCCACTTCCTGTTTGTGAGATGACGCGAATTCGGGAAATGAGCAGGAGGACGGCGCAGAGTTCATCTGAATTTGTTACGGCTTGTGTTATAGACATTACAATATATGACTCATCGAAAAGCTATGAAAAAAATGACAATTCAATTGTTTAGTCCGGTGCAGTGTCTATGAATAAATAGAATAAATCATTGTCCCAGTAAAAAATACGGATAAAACATGGCTGTTGTGTTGTCTCTTGGCTTTGTAGAGAGAGACCGTTTTGGTCTTTGGTAAGTTTCATCCTCCATGTCAGCCGTTGCTGAATAAAGAGTAAGTCATTTGATGATTTATAGATGCCATCATCAGTGGCAGAGGTCACCTACCATTATTATTACATCTGGGCTGGGCTTCCCGAAAGTGTCTCAGCACAAAAACTATCCCTAAATGGAAGAGTGAGCATTACACTGAACACTCTCTCTACCAGTTAAGATGAGTTAGATACGTTGAATGTAATATATTCTATTAATTCTAACCCAAAACCCAACCCTAATCCTAAATCTAACACTAACCACTGACAGTCGTGTTTGTTAACAGTTAAAGGCTGCAGAAATTAATAACTGAGATGTAAACAAAAGTAGTCAGAGTAGTTTGATGTGAAATGGCTCATTACAGAGAATCTTTCCCACTCAATTATAATATAGCCACGTCCTCTGAGTCTTTATGTGTGATGCTGATAGGAGTGATGTGTCGGCTCTTTGAGTTGGCTGGTTTAGATGGCCCTCGGGGGCTGACATTTTTTCATACATAAATTTAAGAGGAAACAAATAGGTAATTCTTATGATGCTGTAGCTGAAAACTGCAGGACCCCCCTCCTGCACCTCATTGGAACATTCTGGCTCCGCCCTCTCGTTATCCCTAACACCTGCTACTTGTTTTGTTAGTTTACCTCTGGTTTTGTTCACGTATTTCTTCATGTTTCTAAGTGTGCCTCATTACTTCTTCTGCCTTGTTGTTGATTTGTCTGCACTTTTGTAATCCCTGCCTCTTGACATTTATCCAGGGAAACTATTAACATCAGACTTATTAGGTTTCTTTTTAAATTACAAACACAATCCAATTTTTGTTAATTAGTTAAAATGGTTAGTTGAAAATGAAATAATAGATAATATTGCTAACATGCTTAATTTTGAGAAAATAAAAAACAATGCTTATAAATGAAGAGCCAATTATGAGCTAAAAGAGCCAATTGACCTGACTCACTGAAAAGAGCCAGAATGCCCATCACTAGCTGATAGAAAGATTTCTTTCCTGCATGTTCACTTCTGCCATAGATTTAGAAAAGAGATTTAAAACAGCATTATAGACTTTCATACAGCAGTGTCTCAGGCATCAGGCAGCACACTCATAACCATTTCATGTAACTACTTTGTGTGAGGGAGCTCTTAGAGGCACTTTGGACGTCTGGTTCCTATCACCATCATTGTGAACAGCTCTGATTCGGTAAATTTTCACATCAAACCACTCTTATTGACTTTGTTTACATCTTAACCACACCTTAAAAATGGCTCATCAGTTTAACTTAAAAAAAATTACTTAATCTGGTAACAAGTAAAGTAATTAGTTTTATTTAACCTAAATAAATATGTTGAACAAATGATTATTTCAATTAAGTCGTTTTTTTTAGTTGAATAAAACTAGTTCAATTGCTTGTTACTACATGATGTAATTTTTTTTGCTTGAGCTGACAAACCATTTTTTACAGTGCATTTAATAATGCAGAATTTTTGAAAAGTCAGTGCAATTTCCCTTCAAAGCATCTGTAGTGTATCTGAAGTGTTACCAATTTAGACCAGTATAGAAATGATGTACTTATTTGAAGCATGAACATTTAAAGCATCACTTTTTTCATTTTAGAGAAGTATGCAAATCATGTGGCAGCAGGATTTCTACAGGCTGCTCAGATCAAAAGTACAAATCAATGTGACCTTTTCTCTGATGGTGCTTTGATGTACGCTGTTCAAGTCGACTCATCTCATCTGTGATCTCTTTCACAGTAACACGGTACCTGAGGAACTCCACCTTGATGATGTCGAACAGGACAGCTGGTAAACCTGGCCAGTTTGGTACTCTGCATGATGAAGACCTTGATGGAATTCGTGTACACCCCATGTCCACTTCGTGTCTCCTTTGTGCGCTGGGATGGAGGGAGGAGGTTGAGGTGTAGTGGGGTTTGGGCAGGAGCGTAGTGGGATGGAGGGATGAGGTCAGGAACATGTCAGGGCGATGGTGGTATCAAACCGGGCGAACAGCGGGGATCCAGATTAGCATATTTCCCATCAGACAGTACATAATTGAAATGTTTTGAGGTGAGTGCGAAGAGATGGGACGTGAAGGAGAATGAGAGAGAGAGAGAGAGAGAGAGAGAGCTGGGGGAGGATGAACAGTAAGGAAATTGATGCAGCTTTTCTACAGCTACAGGCCACAGCTGTCTATTTCTGGCCTGGCTATTTTTACAGAGTTGAAAGGTTAATGGTTTTATTTCCTGCACTGGTTCATTTTACTGTTTGCTGATGCACTCCAGGAAGGAACGAGGGGAGGAGGGAAGCGATCAGTGGGTGTGAGGTCACACACAGCCTGTGCGCAAAGAACACAAACACACACCCCGGTGAGATTTGTGCCTCTCCGTTCACATCTCTGCACAAGGACACCCTGACGTTGTGACGCAAACAACATACAACGTCACAGTGGAAACAGCTGATAAATCTCTCTGTCTGCCTTTCACTCACACACGCAGACACACACCCCGGTCCTGAATGGGAGGACGGTCCGAAGACGAGTGCAGGATGACAGCAACAAGAGTGGGAACACTGTGCCTTTTGTAAGCTGGTCTGAGCGCTGTGCTGCACGCCTCTGTCTTTCATAAATCACATCCTTCATGTTGCTGAGCGATGAAAGGAGAAAAAAAGGAGACAAAAACGGAAGAGCTGCAGAGGTTTAAGCACCCCAACAGTCCTCTGAGTCAGCCTGCTGGTTCCACACACAGTCATATGCAAAAGGTCTACAGGGAACAAGCTTAAATATGCCATTATTCCACAATCTGATGCACACAATTCTTATTTATTTGCTGATATAACATACTGGAGAAAAATGAAATATAACAAATAAAATGTGCCATTACTTTTGCACAGGCAACATTTAATGCTGTATTTTTCCCTGATAGGTTACATTCAGCAAATAGGCTGTAATAGTGCATTAAAATGTGAAAAAGTGTGTTCTCTGTTGAGGATGTGTCAAATTATTTGATAACACTTTACAGTAGGGTGCTGTTCATAAGCCTACATGTCACCTACAAAAGCTTGTTTTGACAACTGACATAATACTACATAAATATTTATTTAAAACTATATAAATGTTTGTAAATGCTTATTTCAATAGGCGACACTCTTTATAAAGGTTACGATTGCCAATTTTGAACAAAGTTCAATAAAGTAGTCTTTATGACAGATGACGCCTATTGTAATAAACAGTTATAAACATTTATTTAGGGTTATGTCAGTTGTCATGACAAGCTTATGTAGCTGTCATGTTGCCTTTTGAACAGCACCCTATAGCAAAGTGTTGCCAATTACTTTTTACTTTGAAAATCAACAAAGCATGCCATTTGACCAGGAGTGCCCAAACTTTTGCATGCAACTGTATAACTGACCTTTGCTTGCTCTGCCCACAAATGCATTCCTTAACAGCTATTGTGCTGTCGCCTTTCACTGCGCCACCGTGCTGCCCTACCACACATACAGTCAAATACAAAAGTTTGGACACCCAAATTACACTTTTTGTTGATTTTGATGTGAAAATAAGTTAACACATCCTTTACAGAGAACAAACTTAAATATGGCATTTTTCTGCAATATTTAGAGCACAATTTCTATTTATTTGCTGACTTAAATATAAAATGTGCCAAAACTTTTGCGCAAGCCACTTTTTATGTTTTTCCCAATATGATACAAAAATTCAGCAAATAAACAATAGTTTAGTAGTAGTTAAAATTTGCAGATATATGTTCTCTGTATAGAATGGACTATTATTTTGACCAGCAGCACCCAAACTGTAGCTGGACTATGTTGTCTATGTCTAATATTAGTTGGATAATACAACAAAAATCTACACCCAATCTATCATAGTTTAAGCTTTCACACATATGCAACCTAAAATTGCTCAATTTTTTCAATATTTTGACCAATATAGAAACACCACAAAAAAAAGAGTTTTTAAACCAAGGTGTTGCAAAAACAGACCACTTTCAATGATGTTGTGATTAAATATCAAAATATGCTGATATTTTGTACTACTAATATTCACTGCTTGACAACCTAGATGCTCCTAATGCCATTGTTGTTGATTTTAGCAAACATGTATGCAGAGTTGGACAAAATACTACTAAAAAAGTAGTGATGACTGAATACTGAACACACTGTCAACAGAATGTATGACAGATTTTTGTCTGGTGCAAAAAATGTAAGTCTAATTGCAAAACATAGATATTTACGTTTTTCAGACTAAGTATTTTAAGGCAGATTGTGTTCAGCTTTGAAAAATTAACATTTAAAATCCATATTGTTGAAATTCTCTGTTCAGGTAACAAAAATGCTGCATCAGTCAACACACTTAAGCGTTTACAGTGCAGTCATAGTCACTGCTACTTAAAATAAGCTACTGCCATTGCTGACTGGATGTGACTTATCCACCAGAACATACAACCAAACTGTATGTTTGCAAGCATTCTGATTTGGTCTAATTAGGTTGATGTAGGATAAGGAACACTCTTTAAAAAGATGGTTCATCAAGGGTTCTTTAGTATAGGGGATTGCTCTGTTTAGAACCATGAGTTAATATAGATCCATTTGCATGCTTAAAACGTTCTTCGCATGTTGAAATGGCTCTTAAGATTGATGGAGAATGTGTTGTATATGGTTCTATCTAGAACCAATTCGAAAATGGTTCTGTATCACACCAAAAAGGGTTCTTCTATTGCTGCAAGCTTTATAGAACCATACATAACACATCCTTCATCAATCTTAAGAACCATTTCACCATGTAAAGAACCATTCAAGCATGAAATGGTTCTAATTAGCACTATTGCCTTTATTACAGAAACCCTAAAGAACCATCTTTTTAGAAGTGAACATTTGGTTTAATGGAATTTCTCAGCAATCTGAAAATCATGTTCATTCTTGCAACAGTTGGAGAATGCATTTGTGTGCAGAGCATGCAGAGGTCAGGTCCCTCTCTCTCCTCCCTGCCCTCACTTGCTCACATAACGATGTTTTATTCATAGCTTTATTTCAGTGGTGTATGTCATTTGTGCAGGTCAGGTCTCATCTGCAGGTCCCTTTGTGAAAATCTCTTTGTTTCTTTGGCCCAGGATGTCTCAGGTATGCCTGGAGAGGGGCCAAAGATTTCACCGCTGTTTCCATCCAGTAGCATTTAAGCGTAACACCTCTGGAATCCTGCATGTATAAACAGCGTGATCTGCAGAAATTCATTCCCCAGTCTCTGCACTAGAGTATGAAAGCAGGCTTTGCTGCATGTTCAGAGTGTTTCAAATGTACAGATGGTGCTTGGCAAGAAATCTGGAGAGCTGCTTGTCAAGCTATTTACAAGATGTTTCAGAAGCAAGCTGACCCAGCGGTATAACGGCTGAAGGCTGTCAGTCCGATTTATGGCCTCTCAGAGTCATGAGATGCACTTTAACACAAGTGGACATCGTTATTAAGCAATGCTCAGATTGTCATTTGAAATATTTAAGTGGCTGAAAGGCTACGAAAAGTGAGAAGACTAAACCATGTGGGGAAAAAAGCTTAACACGGCTTATTACACTAAAACAACGAGCTTGGAAACCTCAAACTTTTCTCACATCTTACCGGTCATAAACACCGTGTCATGCTGAAAGAATAGAACTGTTATTCAAAGAAAGTGATCGTTTTGTGTAAAACTTTTTTCTCTTCACTGAAACACAGTATAGGGAAAAGGCTTAATGTGGCTTAATGCAATTACAATGTAGGAACACCTCACATATTTGGAGAAAATGGGGAAAAATGCCCCACTTAAGAACAAAGTCCATTTACTGCCAAGCTTCAAAACTCACATACAAACTTATCTACAGCAATATGGCCAAACGAGTTGCCTAATTCTAGCTAACACCTACTATAGTTTGCATATAAAGCTAAAGTATCACTAGTCAATGAAACTCTAGACAACTGTGTGTCTTTATGATGAAAATATAAGTCAAAGATATTTTTTGGGCAATATTCTTGCCATAAATATCACTAAAGTTCAGTCTTTTCTTGTTAATGCACTTGTTACAAGCAGAGTTGATCACTGTAATGCCCTTCTTACTGGACTTCCTAAGAAAACAATACATCCCTTAAAACCCATGCAAAATGCAGCAGCACAGATCCTAACAAAAACTTTTTTAAAGAACTGCACTGGCTACCTGTATTGCTTAGAATAGATTTTAAAGTTCTGCGGCTAGTCTTTATGGCTCACAATGACCTTAAAGCACCACTTACATCACACAGTGTCTGTCTGTTTATGTTCCAGCACATGACCTTGTTTAAACTGAGAAATTTTATTATTTTTTGAAAAATATATGCCCATTTTGAGTTTGATGCCAACAACATGTTCCAAAAAAGTTGGGACAGGGGCATGTTCACCACTGTGTTACACCACCTCTTCTTTTAATGACACTCTGTAAGCATTTGGGAACTGAGGAGACCAATTGCTGAAAATGAAATGTTTTCCCATTGCTTAACATAGGATTTCAGCTGCTCATCAGTTCAAGGTCTCATTTGTCATATTTTTTATTTCATAATGCACCAAATGTTTTCAGTGGGTGACAGGTCTGGACTGTAGGCAGGCCAGTTTAGTGCCTGGACTCTTTTAATATGGAGCAATGTTGTTGTAATACATGCAGAATGTGGTTTGACATTGTCTTGCTGAAATAAGCAAGGCCTTCTCTGAAAAAGACATCATCTAAATGGGAGCATATGTTCATTAAAACTGGCTTTTGAACTGTGCGCTCATAACAAACTGAGTGTTCTTTAGCCCAGAGAACACAGTGTCCATGATTTCCAAAAAGAATTTGAAATGTTGATTGGTCAGACCACAGGACACTTTTCCACTTCCCCTCAGTCCATTTTAAATGAGCTCAAGCCCAGAGAAGGTGGCAGCATTTCTGGATCCTGTTTATATATGGTTTCTTCTTTGTGTTTTTGAGTTTTAACTTCGCAACATTTTTTGAAATGGGGTTGTAGATCGACTGACCCCCCCAAATTTTCCTAGGTAATAACTCCCTGGAATGCAGTCATCCGAATGAAATTTTAGAATTTATGAGAACTAGCCATTTGGTAGACACGCTGCAATTAGATTTAGAACTATAATTTGACCAGAAGAGGAAATAAGAGGGTTATGAGTTACCTTACTGTTCATGAACTCTGTCTACTTTTGAAAGGACAAACCTGTAATTTATAAAAAATTTACGAAGATTTTATGTTCGGCATTTTCCATAGAAATACATTATAAGGAAACAGCTTAATGCAGCCCAATGTAGTAGAACAACCTGGAAACATTTTTTATAGAATCTTTTATATAACCTTGCCAGTCATAAACACTGTCCAGTGGCATGTCATAATGTCAAACCAATGCATTAAGTTTCCCATTAAGCTTTTTCATTTCCATTAAAACCCATTTTAAACAACTTAATGTTTAAAAGGCTGAATGTAATAAAATATATATAAAAAATCTCTTTCATTACGGGTTCATCTTTCTGGCAGTAGACTGTGTTAATGGCCAGCAAGGTGTGAGAGTGGTTTGATGTTTCTAGATTGTTGTTTTGTCACATTAAGCCACATTAAGCTTTTTTCCATATAATGGGCTTCTTAAATGAAGAAGTGATCACTTTGTCTTTGGATTACAGTTTCTTTTGGCATTTATGAGCAGATATGTCTTCCTGCATCATTCTTTTAGTATGTTAAGCCATGTTAAGCTTTTTTCACAATAAGCACTAAGTGTTTTAGAATGTTCCTCTACAAACGCCCCTGCATGGAGAGAAAGAAACTGAATTTCGGGCTGGAAGTACCTCCCAGATTCAAATCATTTAAAGCACATTCTGACCCGCTTTTTTAGAGCAGTAGTAAAAAACACACACTGAGAAATAGAAGATCTGTCAAATGTAGTTCACTGTAATTCACACACATGCTCCATATGAGTATATGTACAGCTTTTTTGTAAATCTCAAGGCTTATAAGCACAATATGTTCAACCTTTTGTAGCAAGACACTTTTGTTTTTTAACTAAAAATATTCTATAATTTACATCACAGTGCTAGTGAATTAAGACATGTAGACATACAGCTCAAAAGTAAAGCTTAGAGCAGCTGGATCTTCCTATAGACAATTAAAATCACTTTTAAGACTCAAGTTGAAGTGTGAGTGTATGTATAATGTGTTTAGCCCTTTCAGTCCAAAAAGTATGTAGAAAAACATCATATATCCTCCTCCAAACATCTAGTGGCATTTACGTCCACTAGCCCCTTGTTAGCTGTACTGATAACCAACTTCACTTTTCAGAGTTTTGCACAAAAGACTATGCATCCAGTCCGTCCTCAGATACATTCCATTTCTGTGTTTATGTCCCACAGCACTGTCGGTACTTCCGAAACTGCATGCTGACAAACAAAACCTCCAACTCTCACTGCAACGAGAGCTCCATATTTCTTCTACTGCAACGCAGAGGTTTTGTCATTTTTCCACAGAGTTACAGTACCTTGAACAGTTCTGAGATCACAACGGGTGTCCTGGCAACCAGCTGGCTGTACAGGGTTGCTATGACGCTGCACTGTTACTGTATGCCAGATTCCAAGAGATCAGCTTGCGGAGTCTGGTAGGTAGTGCAGCTGCTAGGAAAGCTGCTCCATTTCAAACTGGGCGTGTCCATTAAGAGGGCCGCTGGCCCAGGCTTCGGAAGGGCGTGAGTGCACGTGGCCCGGCTTCTGGGGATCCTCTGTGGGACAGTGTGAGTGGGTGTGTGTGAGGGGGTCAGGCGGAGCAGGGTCTGGAGGTTTGCGGTCGTAGTAGAGCGCCCAGAGCAGAGTGAGGGTCAGGGTCATGGCCAGGATCTGGGCCACTCCTATAGACACACCCAAGAAACGCAGGACCTGCAACTGCTTCGTGCCACGGATGAAACTGTAGATTTTAGGCCCACAGCCCTGTAAAATGTACACAAAACACATAAGTAAATTGTCATATAATAACTGACTCAGTTACTCAGTTACTGCAAAAGAAAAAAATGGACCAAAAGAAATAGTCCAATATTATATGTCAGCAGTGGTTCATGTTTGGTTTTCAAAGTGAGCTTCTTATGAGGTTAAAGGAGCATTCCAGCCTACAACTAGCATTTAATATGCTATTTTAAAAAAAAAAAACGTTTAGTAATTGCAAGCAAAGATGTCATGATTATGAAATAGTGTGTCATAATTATGATCGTCAAAATAATAAGATTTTAAGTCATAATTATGACATAGTATCTCATATCACTTACTGTCTCATGATTATGGGATAGTATGTCATAATTAAGAGATTCAAATTAATAAATATGAGATTATAAATGAAAATCATGAGTCATAATTTTGACATAGTATCTCATATTATCACTTCCTAGCTCATAATTATGAGATACTAAGTCACAATTATATGATTTTAAGTCATAATTATGACATGGTATCTCATAATTATGAAATAGGAAGTGGTAATATGAGATACTATGTTATTATTATTAGATACTAAGTTGAGTAACACTCATTATTCTTGTTATTCTTATTATTATGACATAGTAACTCATAATTATGAGATTAAAATGTCATAATTATGAGATACTAAGGAAGTGTTCCCAGTGGGATACAGGGAAATGTTCTCATTTTATGTCTTATTAAATGGCTTTTTAAATTTTTATAGTTACTAAATGTTTGTTTTTCTGTGGCAGAAACGGACTTCCATTGTATGACTGTCCTTTCATAAAAAGAGTAGCAGCAGGAATCCTAAAGTTTGAGTTATGTCTGTACCTTTGTCTGTTTTGCCTGATACTAATGGTTTAGCACAGGTTTCCATTACTTGTAAGCTGCTTTAACCCCTAAAAAAACAAAAGACGTACTGGCAGGAAGAAAATTGTGTGCTTTTTTGCCAGATCCAATTTTCTTTTCTCCGAAACAAGTATTGAATTTTTCTTGAAATAAACAATTAAATGTATTAAGCATAAAAATGAATATACAAATGATAAAGCTCTTGTTCTGCTGTATGTTTTGCTGGTTTCTGTACAGAAACATTTCTAACATTTCTGAGGCCTTAGCACAGCAGCTGCCTCAGTAATATGCGAGCAATGTAACACTCATCCGCTCTGTGTGTGTATGTGTGTGTGTGTGTGTGTGTGTGTGTGTGTGTGCGTGTGTGTGTGTGTATGTGCGTGTGCGTGTGCAATATTTCCTATGCAGATAGAGAAATGCGGAAAGGCAGGTACATTATTTCCTGGCAGTGAGAGATTTGTGCTTCAGTGCAAGATGCCTGATACAACTCTACCAACAAAGGCCCAGAGAGAGAGAGAGAGAGAGCAGTAGAGAACATTCAGAGTGAAAGGGTGTAGAGATAATGCGAATGAGAAAGACGGTGAGTGAAAGAGAGAAAGCAACAAAGTCTGTTCCTGACCGACTTTACAAAGCAGCTCTTTGACTGTCCTGTCCTTGAACAAGCACAAGAGGCAGTGACAGTCGTGTCCGAGCACACGGACACAGTTTTTACACAGGTAGACCTGCACTGAAAAGAGTGATGCATTGACTCTAAGATGTACATCATTTCCACCTGGATAAAGAATATCACACAAACACAGATTGTCTTTCATTTTACTTACTTTTGCAAAAATGTTGTTGATGTAATACATTTGATTCGTGTGGAAATGATGTGCACATTTGAATCAAATAAATGTAACACAGTCAAAAGTTTGGATACAAACTTGATTGATTTCACCCGTCTTTTCTTTCATTTTTTCTGTTTGCTGATTTTGTTGATTACTTTTTGCTTCTGAAATCTTTCTTTTGCATCTGACTCTGGCACGTTTTCACATGGGACAGGTCTTAGAAGAAAGGATTTACCTACATTCTCTATTGGTCAAATGATTTGGACAGGTCTTCTGACAGTTGGTCACTCAGCAACAAGGTGGAGGGTGTCGTACTGAGTGCTGCTATGAGTGCAGCATTGTATTGGCATATCTGACATTATGAACAATGAGTGTCATATTCCTTTTAAATTATTAATGTAACGCATGTTTAGGTTCCTGTGTCAAACAATCTAACTGTTATTTTGGACGCTGAAGAACATAAACACCAACATTTACCGTATTAATGTGAATACAGTGATTTGAAGCAGCAGCATTCTGGAAACTGGTGTGCTAAAATAGGAAGCCAGTTTCAGTGACTGACATGGAGGCATTCTGTGGGTAAAAACAAGAAAAGACTGACATAAATCCCTCATAACCCTCAGAATGTAACAGCCAACCATGACATGAGAGACAATCCTCTCTACACTGAGTACGGCACGCTCCGCCATGTTCAAAGCAGATCACAGCTCTCAGAGTAGACGTGGCTACATATTCAGAAGCCATTACTCCAAATCATTTGACCAATAGAGAGTGCAGGTGAACGCCTTCTTTTAAGACCCGCCCCCTGTGAAAATGTGCCAAAAGTCAGAAGCAAACGAAAGATTCCAGAAGCAAAAAATAAATCAGCAACAAAATGAAAGCAAAGACTGGCAAATGAGTGAAAATGAGTAGTAATCCTTTTTTGAAATTAAGCTTAATTGAACTCCCATATTTGTATTTGCAACCTATTTTGCACCCTTTAACACTTAACATTTTATTATAAACTTTTAACAAAATTAACTCCATATAATCTCACTTCATCTTGGTAAGAATCCAAATGGCAAACTACAAGAAAATATTTTGAAAATTAGCAAAAATGTAAAAAAAGTGTATTTTTTGTGTATTTACAAATTTATCAAAAAGTTGGTTAAAATAGTTGTGTTGTGTTGCTAAGTGTTAAACCTGATGACTGCAAATATTTTCAAATTTCCCATTTATGCTCTTTTAAACATGTTTATTAGGGAGGGACAGTGTTAGTATATACCTACACCAGTCTTCGTATAGACTGAAGAGGAAGCAGTAAACAAACAGTGGACTCATTCACTGAATCACAAAACACCATCATGGCTGGGATAACAAAACATGTAATGCATTTAAAAGAAATCTTTAAGGTAAGAATAACATGTTATAACAAAAAGAGTCTGAGAAATGAAAACTTTAAATTATTTCCTTTTTGAAGTGCCCACTTAAAATTAGTTTTCCAACAAGCTCTTAGCAAAGCATTGCTGTCCCTAAAAACATATATCTCCAAAACAGTAACTTTGCGAGAGAAGACAAAAACATAACTTTTAATGTAAGTTAATGTCTTTTTTCCAGTTAGTTTTGTGGTCTTTATATTGTCCTTTTTCATGAAAAATAAGAGTATATGTGACAAAACGGGCAAAAAACTAAACTTTAAAATGTAAGATATACATTTTTGATTTTGATATCTTGAGTAGTATTTTAAATTGAGTCAAATAATAGGCCAAAATTAAGGAAAACCCTTTCATGAGGTGTGTCTAAAGTTTTTAGCAGTAGTGTATTTTTCTTATTTATACTTTTTAAAAATAAATGTATACAAAGGCATTGACTTTAAGGTTATGAAAAACATGCATTCTGTAAGGTGGGTCCAAACTTTTGATCGGTTCTGCATGTATGAGGGGATCTGACTCAGTCTCTGCAAAACGAATAGATGTGCAGCTGTGTGAGATTACAGTGGGAAGGAATGTGTGTATGTGTGGGTGTGCGCAAGTGTGCATGCGTGTCTGTATCTTTCCTCAAGTTGGCGAGTACCCTCACTCAGCGTCTGTCTGCGGGTGATGCTTCAACACACGCAGGTGCTTTTCTGTGCTGTGAAACGGCCACTAGACACATATTTAAAGTCTTTAGCCTCTCAGCACTCTGCACATCATCTCACACTGACATCACTGTCTAATTACACACACAGCTAAGAGAGTCTCTTCACGGCCTCTCCTCATCTGACCCTCCTTTCAGAGTGTTCTTTATCTCTCCTCACAGAGCCGTGCTGCATTACAATTACCTCCAACAATAGAGTTACAAATAAACCAACATCTGAGGCTCTTCTAAAAACAGAGCTCTCGCTGCCCCAGGCTATTGAATATTCTCTAATTACTCTATAGGCCACAGGTCAGCACGCTTCAGGTGAGGACTCGTCTAAAAGTGTGCTGGCCACCAACCAAGATTACCTCTTGGTAGAGGTCACTCAGGTCACGGTGGTGGGCGTGGCGAGCGCAGCCTGGATACTGATCAGAGCAGCAGGAGTCTGGCGGCCACTCCATCTCGGTCATCTCCAGCCAATCAGTGAAGTAGATCACCCCACAGCATTTGAACTGAAAGGAGGAGTAGGGGTACAGGTCAGGATTCCTAACTGCTACTGCTGCCAAAATAAGACGCCTGTCATTGTTTCAGAGTAACTGCTGCTTGGTTGGACTTTATTTTCAGAAATTCAACCTAATGAAAAACTGTAGTGCAACTACAATAGATCAGGTGCAGTGTTTTATCAAGTAATTGAGGTTTTTAGGGATGCAAACGCAAACATGATAGGCTAATCAGAAGGTCCCTGGCTTTAGACATTACTGGTCAGCTAAGATAACTTGGCACACCACTAGCTATTATAGCATAGAATTTTCACCATTGTATTTGCCACATATGGACCATTTTACTTTTATTAGTTCAAACTGCAGTTCCACAGTAAAACTATAAAAAAAAAAATAAGCATTCAGACCTTACATATTTACATGCATTATGTTATGATCTATTTAAGCCCAAGGCATTAAGGTGGTTGGTGTAGTGTAGTGGGTAACACCTCTGCCTTCTGTGCTGTAGTTCAATCCCCCACCTGGGCAAGCACCCTGCACTACACCAATAAGAGTCCTTGGGCAAGACTCCAAACACTACCTTCACCTACCTGTGTAACATGATCAAATTTTGAGTAACTCTGGATAAGAGCGTCTGCTGAATGCCGTAAATGTAATGTAATTAAGATAGTAATAGGTTAAATATATAAACAGTCATTTTTAGAGTACTTCCTATTTTAGTAAAAATATACTTTTCACTTCATTTATTTAAAGTGAAGTTGAAAAATTTAGATTCATTCAGTTTTTTTTACAAAAAAAAAAAAAGAATTTAACAAAAAATCCTGTGCCCGTTTACATGTTTAGGATTGTATTCAACCGGCAGAGCCTTATTTTAGCCACACCCCTGCAATTATAGTCCAAAAGTCTGAAAATCAGCATGTAACATTAGGAATTGTCACTACTGAAACACATATTTTCTGCAACTAAGAAAACTTTTTTGCATTTTAATTTTAAAAATTATGATTTTATGTGTGTACAGCTGTTCAAAGCTATGTTTGCTAGTGTTGTACTGGCTTACATTTTTGGAATTCCAAAATGGAATGTTCAATCTTTCCCTTAAATAAAATAAACATAATTAAGGTGTAGGGTCATTCAAAGCAAAAGCAAAAGTCAATTAAATGTACAGAATGTGTTTTCAGTTTCAGTTTCAGTTCAGTTCAGTAGAATGATCCATATAGGCTGTTGACTTTTGAAAATTTTTGTTGAAAAAATTACATTATGCGACTGTATAAGTGAAAATGCATTGCGTCTACACTGAGCTGTGCCAAATAGAGTGTCTGTCACTGCAGCAGCGCTTAGTGAAGCAGGTAGCCTAATAGCTAACTTCACTTCCATTTATTTGCATCAACATTAAGTGATTATTATCTATCTACAATAGCAGCAACATATCGTTGCTGTCCAAAGAAAAACATGCATCTCCATTTTTATCGGTTTTTAGTTTTATGCATCATTTGAACACTTTGGCTGTCCTTTACATTGAGTCGAAATTTCATGATGAATGGACCAATAGAAATGTTCCAAAATGACTTTAAATAAAATCTCTTCACACTGACTTACGTTAAAAGTAAAGAACTTTTTTTGCCCTCTCCTGTAAAGTTACCATTTCGGAGATGCTTGTTTTCCTTTGGGCAGCGACAAAATGTAATAGCTGTTAATAATATTGTTTGTTTTTGTGTGTTAATGTTGAGATATAAAGTGCAGATATGGCATACTCTGTTTACCTCATTTTACATTTCTGTGCTGCTATTGCATGTAGGCTATAGCCTCTCAGTATTGTGCCCCCCCCCTTTTAGATCAAATTTGCACCCCTGAGCAGACAAAACATTAAATAGTTGTAAGAATATGAATTAAACTAAGAATGGCATTTGAAAAGCATAAACCAAGCTGTGGTAAGAATTAATAAGATATAGAAACACCAGTACGAGGAGCAAGTTGCCATATAGAAATGTTTTCTCCCCCTCTGACTACTTTTTCTAAAGTCTGAGTTAAGATACACTTCCCAAAATATACCGTTCACTAACAGTATTCACTAAAATTTAAACTGAATTGCCTTCTCACCTCAGTCTGAAAGGAGTTCCAGGCATGGGTTAGCCACTGGTAGCGCTGTAGGCCGTAGTTGGGCATACGCGACTTCAAACTGATCATATCAGACCTCTGCACTGAAGGCTGCAAATATATACGAATACAGGCCATTACACAGCTGTATAACATGAAAATTAACATCAAGGAGACTTCATACCTCAATCATCACATACTTGCCTCAAACTGTGTCAAGCTGGACCCAAGGATGGACAAAATCATGCTTCATTTTGACTGCTACTGCTGTTTGAGATTACTTTACAACTAATCTTGAGGCAAGAATATTATAATTTAGCTGTGCTGTTTGCACTATGCTAATTCAGCTGCATTTGGGGTGAGGGTAAAATTGCATAAAATTGATTTAGCAAGTCAATTCACATAAAGCGGTAGAAAATCAGCAGATGGATATGACTCTCATGACCACTTTATGGATGCTATTTTAACAGTCACTCCCTTATTCTAGCAGACAGCTGGGCCAAACAGCAGGCGTCACTGGTAGCACTGGCCTTAGGCAGGGACTCATTCAAAACAGCTTGCTTAATGTCCCCTTCAGAAGGACTGCAATCCTCACTGCTATTTCGCTTTTGTCACCCCTTGAGATAAGTACCTGCCTCGCAGAGGACCCACAGTGCCCCTGGGGCCAGGTGTGTCACCCCATCATGTCGATGAATGGAGCAGATTCTGATAGCGGAAGCAGGGAAAATGCGACTAGCTGCAGTTACTGATAGCCACATAGCGATGTGGAGTTGAGGAGAGAGGGACGGATGGGACAATGGGGATAATGTTGCAGGGCCAGGTGCAGAGGCGTAGGCTGATAGCGCAAAGACAAACACTCACACAAACACACGTAGGTCACTTTCGGTCACACCTGTGCAACGGCACACATCAAAGCTATTCGAGGGACTTTCGGTTGCTGATAAGACAGTGCCTTGAAGGAGTGTGTGTGAGTGTTTGTTTTAGGACATTTTCAGGACCAGCAAAATAGTTAGTTGCAACAGGATTTGAAAAGCGTTTTTTACAAAAAAAGATTTTTAATACTGAAATGGCAAAATTATTTCCTTTTGGTGTCATTTGTAATACATATACACTTTCAGAAAAAAAGGTAGTAAACTGTCACTGGGGCAGTACCCCTCTTGTCACCGGGGTGGTACCCTCAAGGGTACATCTCAGTACCTTTAGTCAGGGAACATTACTGTACCATAATCCATTGAAATGATATTTTCACGTTGTACTGACTCCACACACCCCGTCTCGTCTCCAGGCTTTTTATTTTATTGTACTGTTTTAAAACATTAGGTTATGAAAAGGTACAAATATGTACAACCCCAATTCCCAAAAAGTTGGGACGCTGTGTAAAATGTAAATAAAGTGTAAATAAAAACAGAATGCAATGATTTGCAAATCTCACAGACCCATATTTTATTCACAATAGAACACAGAACACATATCAGATGTTGAAAGTAAGACATTTTACCATTCCATGAAAAATATTAACTCACAACTTGATGGCAGCAACACATTTCAAAAAAGTTGGGACAGGGCCATGTCTACCATTGTGTAGCATCCCCTCTTCTTTTAACAACAGTCTGTAAACATCTGAGAAGTGAGGAGACCAGTAGCTGGAGTTTTGGGAGAGGAATGTTGTCCCATTCTTGTCTGATGTAGGATTCTAGCTGGTCAGCAGTTCTGGGTCTTCTTTGCTGGATTTTTTGCTTCATGATGTGCCAAATGTTTTCTATTGGTGAAAGGTCTGGACTGCAGGCAGGCCAGTTCAGCGCCCAGACTCTTCTTCTGTGAAGCCATGTTGTTGTGATGGATGCATTATGTGGTTCAGCATTGTCTTGCTGAAATAATCAAGGCCTTCCCTAAAAGAGACGTTGTCTGGATGGCAGCTCATGTTTCCAAAACCTTTTTATTTGGTTCAGCATTAATGGTGCCTTCACAGATGTGCAAGACACCCATGTCTTGTGCGCTAGTGGTCCCCCATACCATTATGGATGCTGGCTTTTGAGCTGTGTGCTAATAACAAGCTGAGTGGTCTTTAGCCTGGAGGACACCGTGTCCATTATTTCCAAAAAGAATTTAAAATTTTGATTCATTCAACAAATTTTGAATTTGTTCCACTATTTTTAGATGCATGATTGTATGTACGTTTTTTTGCAGATTGGTGAACCTCTTCCCATCTTTGCTTCTGAGAGACTCTGCCTCTCTAAAATGCTCCTTTTATACTCAGTCATGTGAATTAGTAGCAATTTGCTCCTCCAGCTGTTTTTTTATTAGTACCACTTACTTTTCCAGCCTTTTGTTGGCCCAGTCCCAACTTTTTTGAGATGCGTTGCTACCATCAAGTTGTAAATGAGTTAATGTTTTTCATGAAATGGTAAAAGGTCTCACTTTCACCATCTGATATGTATTCTATGTTGTATTGTGAATAAAATATGGATCTATGACATTTGTAACTCATTGCATTCTGTTTTTATTTACACTTATTTACATTTTACACAGCATCCCAACTTTTTTGGAATTGGGGTTGTACTTTTCACCTGGAAAAAACATATTTAATGTATATAATGGGACCTTAAAACCACTGTTGCACCTTTGTGGGAACATTAACATTGTTTGTACCTTGATGAACAAAAAATGTACCTGTGCAGAACCTTTATTTCTAACAGTGTAGGACATATTGTTTTTACATATGGGTAATTACATGTAAATAATATATATGGGGCATATTATTAAAGCAATATGCCCTATATGTATTACTTATATATAAATAATACTTATGGGGTATATTGTTATTGTATATTGTGGTACATATTGGTAATTACACATATTAACTACTAAATATATATATATATACAAATTTAGTGTGTCCACCCTTCACCTTTATTACAGCTTCTATTCTTTTCAGGAGACTCGCTGTCTGTTTAACAAAGAAATCTGCAGGGATATTTTTTTCACACTCCCAAAGTTCAGTCTTAGAAGTTGGTTGCATTTTCTGCTTCTCATGTGTCTGTCTCCTTTTCTCAGTGAGGGCTTCTTAACAGCTACACATCCTTTCAGACTCATAGCTCTGAGTTGTTGTCTCACAGTGAAAGGATGGACAGAAACACCTGTGGATGTTTTCAGATCTGAAGCAGCTTGATTCTCTCCTCTCAAAGATGAAAGCTTTAAGCTGTTTATCTAAGGGGGGTAGTTTAGGTGGTCTACCAGGTCTTGTATGGTTGTTGAGTCCCATTTTCTCTGGCTCTTTTAATCATTTTTTGAACTCCAGTTTTGGAAACTTTTTTTCACTTATTTCCCTTCCTTGTACAAATGAATTATCTTAAATCTAATCTTCCCAGAAATGTATCATTAACAATGAATAACTTATGCTTAATGACATTTTGACTGGAAATTAAATAAATGAAGGGGGATCTCTGACTTGTGCACAGTACTGTAAATGATACACATGGGATATATTATTATGAGACATATATGGCACATGTTGTTGTTACATATAGGTGCTGCAGTCAGAACAAAAATTTATATCTCTGTTTTTCCTTTGTTTTTTACAGAATTAGAAAATGCCTTTAAACTGTTTTCAAATACCATGATGAATGAACCAATTGAAATGTTCCAAAATTACTTAAAATGTAAATTAAACATTTTTTATTTTGTTCTGCTGCAAAGTTACCATTTTTGAGATGTGCTGCATTTTGAAATATAAAATACAAATGGGACCTATTATTCTATTCTTATTACTCTATAGTGACAGATACATATATGACCCCATTCTTTGGCATTGTGTTAAAACAAATTTGTTTGTGTGGGTGTGTGTGTGTGTATGTGTGTGTGTGTGTTTGTGTTAGTGTGTGTCAGTGTTATCTTCTCTCTGCTCTCTCTGACTGTAGCAGATGCTACCTGCAACCCTGTTTCACCTTTCACCTTACTGATCAAGGCTATACAGATTTAGATTAAGCTTAGCCAAAGCCTGCTTTGCTAACAGCCCTTCAAGAGGACATTAGCATCACACACACATCTCACAAACATGTCCCTCCTCCGACCACCCCCCCCCCACCCCCTGCACAAACACACACTCTATGCCACTAAAGGAAATGTGCTTGCGCCAGGCCTTTGAACTCTAACAGTTAAGATTAGCCTCAGAAACTTGATCTAAACCCTAGCAGGTCAGAGAAACCCCTCATACAGATACAGCCACGGTGCTTATGTGTGAGAGAGAGAAAGATGAGAGGAGTGCAGCGGTGTTCATTTTGTTCATAGCGTTACTCACCTCCTCGTACGTCCACACTCCACTGGCCAGCTCCACACAGAAGATCACCAGCAGACTGCCAAAGTACTGCGGAGACACACACACACACCACTGTTCAAAAGGCCAAAATCACTTGTTTTATTAAAGATTTTTGTTATTTCATATACAATAATAGAAGGTCTGGGGTGATGCCTTTTCTCACAACCCACTATAAATCTAAACATGATTGGTTGATTTCACTGCCAATTCCTAATTATATTGGTGGTTAATCTGACACATTAGGCCTTCAGTTCAGCACCTGAAATCCTAAACAATGGGAAAGCTTGGTTGTATCTACCTAGATACCATGGAGAAAAATTATGAAAGGATCAACATTTTCAGGGATGACTTTCAGGAATTTAACCCCTTTGTTTCCAACCAAAACTTGAAATGATGGTAACACTTTATTTACTAGCACATACTGCGATATATTTGGCAATTGTGTATTCAAACAGTTATTACCTGTATATATTTCATGATAAACATGTGACATGAAGACATTTAAAGTATGCATGCAAATGAAAGATCACAATTAATTAACATTTAACTCATTAGCCAACAAATATTTAATAACCACTTTACAAGACCTTAATAACACCTTTACAAAACCTTAATAACAGATCATATAACTACATTTATAACACATTGTAAAGCTTGCTTACAACATGTATGTTTCCATTTACTATGTCATTGTTAATTGCTTGGTAATAGTTAATTAACCATTAAGAAGCAGACCTTAAAATAAAGTGTCACCGAAATGACACATATAATGACACATACTATTTCACATCAGTCATTAAGCCTTCTCTTAGCGCTTAATGGCCTTCTCTTAATCTTAAAAAGGGCCACTGTGGCTGCAGGTTGTCATTCCAAACAAACAGAAACAAACCTAATACTACTTGTTAAATCAGCTTGTCTTTAGATGTGATCAGGTGAGCTCCTGCTTTGTTGGAATAAAAGCCTGCAGCCATGCCGGCCCTTTGTGGATAAGATGTACACCCCTGTCTTAAGGCCTAGAAGACCCTGAGTGTCCCCCACTGTTATAACTTACTTTTTGACATTGTACAGCTTTTTCTTTTTTTTTTACAGCTTTCTACAAAATATGTAAAACATGTGAAAGTTTCTTAGGATTAACATATTAGAATCATTTTATATAATTATCTGTGAAAAATTTGTAATAATATCTCACTCAAAACACTGATTACAAACATGTGAACCGTGATTGCAAAGTTTTAAATGATGTGTTTGAGTAGTGTTTGGAACATGGATGTTAAAAGACAGCAAATGAGGGAAAAACAAAGAAAGACAGGTCCCCGACTAGTCTCCCAGCTCATTTGTTTGTCAGCGACTGTTATCATGAGTGAAGGGTCAGTATAGTGAAGACAGACCGCAGCTTTCAAAAACGGATGGAGTCTCCACACACACAGATCCAAATTAACACTTTCCATCACGCTCATATAGTCTTTCCCTCTAAAGTCTCGTCCTAATATACACGCATCTACTTGGTGTCACAGGGACACATTGCGAGGGCTTATTGAGATGAATGTTGGTGTCAGGCTCAGTGTTTGGTAGTGCGTTAGTGCTGCAGGCCTGGCTGACAGGTTGTTTATTTGGAAACTCTAAATATTTGTGTTAAACAGATGGCCGTTCCTGCATTACAATCCATTTGCCGTTCGCCAGACACGTACACACGCGCACTAACACCGACTAAACATGCATACATTCACACATCCAACGAATGCTGGCCATGAAAAGCTGCTATGCTTATACTCTACACCCCCCTCCCTCTAAACATCTCACTCTAAATCTGGCAGAGGTGAACTTTTAACCTGCAGAGCATCTCTCTCTTTCTCTCTCTCTCGCTCTCTCACATCTGTAGGCAAAGAGGTTATTCCATGAAAAGAGTGCCACAACATTTGATGCCACGTATAGACAAATATCTGATAGTCAATGTTTTCAGGCTTTAATATATTACTTTAAAGCTCATCATTAACCTAGTATACAGATCATTCTACTGAACTAGCTGAAAGTCAGCGTTCACAACCTATTTTCAACTGACTTGGATTTAGATTAAAATCCTTTTGCTTTGAATGACCCTAGACCTTAATTATGTTTATTTTATTAAAATAAATAATTAAACATTCCATTTTGTTACTGCTAATGCAATAGTAACACCTCCAACACCTCCACATTGCCAAATGTTTCCGTAGCGACTGCATCGGTAGTGATAATTTTAGCTAATTTTGAGCGTTTTTGAGTACATGGCTAGCAAACATAGCATTGAACAGTTGTACACTCATAGAATCATAATATTTTTATTAAAACACAAAAAGGTTTACTTAGTTGCAGACAATTCCTAATGTTACGCACTGACTTTCAGACTTTGGGACATATTTACTTCAAAACAATGGGATCTAAATGCTCACCATGTGGCCACAAGGGTCAGGGATGCAGTCTCACTTCCTGCTCTAAAATGCAGGGCCGTGGCTGAAATTAGGCTCCGCCTATAGACTAAATCTCTTTGTGTTTCAGTAGTGACATATATGGATTTCCTTTCACTGGAACTAAGGGGTCTAGGTCAACCCCTGAAAAACAATCCCATATCATTATCCCTCCTCCACCAAACTTTACAGCTGGCACAATGCAGTCAGGCAGGTAATGTTCTCCTGGCATTCGCCAAACCCAGACTGATCCATCGGACTGCCAGATAAAGAAGCCTGATTCTTCACTCAACAGAATACGTTTCCACTGCTCCAGGGTTCAGTGGCAGTGTGCTTTACACCACTCCATCCAACACTTGGCATTGTGCTTTGTGCTTGGTAAAAGGCTTGCACCCAGTTCCTGGGCCATGGAAACCCATGCCATCAAGCTCACAGCACACAGTTTTTGTGTTGATGTTAATGCCAGAGGAGGTTTGAACTGCAGTTATTGAGTCAGCAGAGCGTTGGTGACTTTTATGCACTCTGCTCCTCAGCACTCGGTGACCCGCTCTGTAACTTTACGTGGTCTGACACTTCATGGCTGGGTTGCTGTGGCAGCTGATTTAACCTGAAATACCTGTTTTGGTAAGCGTGACATGTAATTAAAACTATGGAGTTGAAAAACTGATTTCTTGACATTAAATGTTAAAACAGCATGTCTATTTGGTGCCCATCTTGTTTAATGACCATGTTAACCCAGTGGCCCTTAGGGGCTACAGTGGGCCCAGCAAGTATGACTGCAAATGGAATAATAGTAAAGGCAACTGGAAAAGAAGCTTGTGTTGATGGATTTGCTCTTTTAGAGTATCCATAGTCCATAGAAATAGGAATTTCATTTTACACTGCAACTAACGTCACCTTTATGAATTACATACAATCATAGACAAAGCCAGCTTAGTCAGCTTTAGCATATGTTCATTTTAGCTGAACCTCACCTCTAGAGGTCAAATAAGAAAAACACAATAGCAGGAGTCACATGCAAAAACTTTTAGTCTGATCTCTCTCTGCTGCAACCGTTCATCTGTTTCAGTCACGTGACCATCTTTCTTGCCACATTAACCCTTTAAGGCAGACACAAAAACGTGGCTATTTCTGCTGTTTAATCTGCTCTTCTCCACTAATCACATGATTACTCAGAGCTCTTGTTGCATTTATGTGACAAGTAAATAACACGATCCACAAAAGCCAAAAATTCTTAGATTCATACATTTTAGTTTGTTCCACAAAATATCTTTTTGATCAAGAAACCACATGAATAAGAAACACATATCATTTTCCATTATATCATTACTTTGATTGCACAGAACAATAATAACTGTAGTTTGCTAACATTAAGTAGAGTGAACTGTGTGGACAAAAACAGCTCGTTTTGAATTCGTTACTTTTGTGATGCCACATTTACATACGTAGATCTGCCTATTCAGCCTACAGCAGATTAGCCCCACCCACTCACAATGAAGTGATAAGGACTGCTTTTTAAATGAGGCACAATACAAGGCAGCCAATCAGAACAGGGCTCATTTACATATATCATCCTCAGAGGCACAGCAAGAGAACGGCCTGTTTAAATGAATTATGACTGTTTTTGGCAAATAAACAATACTAACATCATAAATGGACCTCAGGGAAAAACACTACGCATAATGAAGGATATGGGCCTGTTAAGTAAAGATCATGGCAACAATAAAAATCCACATCAACAATCTTTTATGACTTTGTCATCTAATCATTGCAGCCCTAATGTGTGTGTGTGTGTGTGTGTGTGTGTGTGTGTGTCTGTGGTGAACTGAGCTGCAGGGTAAATGAAGCAGCCCCTGTTCTCCGGGTCGTCCTGCTCTGAGGCTGGATTGCCTTACCTATTGTGTGAGTGCGAGATAATACTGTAGCCTCTCAGTAACTCAAAGCCAGATAAACAGCGAGGAGAGAGAGAGAGACACCGCACAGATGAATAGAGAGACCCAGAAAGGGAAGGAAGGGGGGATGGAAGAAGGCGTCCCAGAAAATAGGACCCTGGTCTGGGTCAGCAGACAGAAACCCCACCCTCCCCTCCAGAACACCTGGGAGACGAGGCCTACACACACTATCCTCTCCACACTGCAGCTTGCAGCTTATGTGGACAGAGCTGTGGCTGACCAAAACAAAATGTAGCAATGATGCTGGGAAGGATATCATTGCTGTCAGAACAAAACCTCAAATCTCCAAAAAAGTAACTTTAGAGGAGAATGTAATGTAAGATTATTGGTCCATTCATCATTTCATTTTGACAGAGTTCCCACACCCATCTAAGCCTTTTTATAGCACTTTTACAATATTTGGAGACTCTTTTGACTTTAAAATACTTCTTCACACTCACATACCTCATTTCCAATAACAGTCCTTTAAAGAACCATCCACTAAAAATTTATTTAGGGAACCACAAGTGGTTCTTAAGTGGTTCTTCTATAGCATGGCACAAAGAGGCTTTTTGGCACCTTTATTTTTAAGAGCATCTGCTCAGTGCACTTCTGGAACATGGTCAAAAATGAATTTGTAATGACAAATATTCTCTAAAAATAAAATTAATAAAAGTACAGAAACAGAAATCTCTGTTATGACAAGGTTACATACCGCTTTACTGATTTGGCAAGTGGGTCCAGTGGCCAGGAGCCTCTGGCTGCCAGAGGCCTCAGGGGGCTTCAGACAATCAGACCCAAGGGGGGCTTAAATACTTGGCAAAATCCACTGCAGATATTAATATTAGATGAACAAATAGCCCTTCAAAATGTACATATGGCAAAATGAATTAAACAAAATCTGTTCTCAGACCTCTGAACCTTGTTGAAATGAGATGTATTAGACCAGAGGTGCTCAATCATGGTCCTGGAGATCTACCAGCCAGGAGGGTTCTAATATCTAGATATCTCTGAAAGCTAAGTTTATATAGATTTAGAATTGCATTGCTCAAAGTGCACATAAACAGGGATGTAAACTATTGCTTAATCTCACTTTTCAGATCTTTATTGATTAATTTATTAAAACCTGCTTGTGCTCAGGGGTCCCGCAAGACCATATCTAGCAATGTTTGAATGGAAATATAGAAATAGAAATATGTTAAAACATAACTTAGAAACACTGATCAGACCAGAACTGACTGGGTGTGGTCCTAATATTCTAATAGGCATGCATGATTGACAGCCCTCAGTCTCACATTTTCAGCCTGCTATACTACTGATCTGCTCTACATAGACATGTGGTGTTGTAGGATATCCTTGCTGTATCCACTCACTAAAAACATTATCAGGTTTTTAAAGCTAAGATTCTTATTTACTTTATTGCTGTGGATGTGTGTCCAGGGAATGCTGGTGTGGCCAGCTAAATGAATGAACAGGCAAATGGACGTTCTTGATAGCTGACTGGAAACGTGTTATCTGGTCAGATGAATCTCGTTTCTGCCTGTATGTGAATGATGCTGGGCATCGTGTTCATCGTAGACCTCAGGAAGCATGTGCAAGGTGTGGTTCAAGCTGGAGGAGCTCTATGATGTTTTAATTATGTGGAAATGGGTCCTTTGATTGAGGTGACAAGAAAATTTGCACAACAGTGTCTACTTTGAGCTGCTGGACAACCAGGTTTTGCCTTTTGGTCATCATCTTACTGAGGAAAACATTCCTATCACTGTATTCCAAGATGAATTCTTGCATTCACAGGGCTGCAAATGTGACTGATTGGCATGATGAAGATTCAGGAGCATTCACACATCTGGACTGGCCTGCAAAACCCCCAGATTTGAATCCTCTTGAAAATCTGTGGGACGACCTGGAACAACGTGTAAGATACCAGGGAAGGCATCCACGAAATCTGGCAGAATTGATGCAAGAGTGGCTGAACATTGATGTCTCCTAAATCCAGAAACTTGTCCAGTCCGGGCCAAATCATATTGCAGCTGTCATTCGTGCTCCTGAAGGTATTACATGCTATTAGGTATGCTTAAGTCACAAGTGACAAATCTTTTGTCCGATGAGCTTGTAAAGAGTAGCAATGTAGCATCAGAAAATTAGGAATTATGAAAGAAAGTATTTTGTCAATTAATAAAAAAGTATTTTGTCCACCACATAAGGACACATTGAGGTTGTGCCAATAGCAGAAATATAGTGCAGGCCACTGGCCTAGTGAATGGATGTCTTGCTTTATTGACTTCAATCTCTCTCTCGCTCTCTCTCTCTCTCTCACCAACATCCCACAACCCTCCTGCAGTACCATAACTCAACATGCCAACAAGCCTCAAAATGCTAATCACATCCGCCAAGACACGCACAAAAACACACAACATGACTCTCACAATAGATTTGTGGGCGCAACCCTACGTGGCCTGTCCATCACTTTGATTGATGTGGAGTCCCGTGGCTATAGTGCCCACCCCCTCTGTGTGTTTATTGCTGTTGGGGGGCCGTAACTCTTCCTCTTCTTCACGAGTCGAATGTTTTACAGCCCTTCTAATCAGCAGGAGTGACCCGCTACGAGCTAACAAAGAGGTCTCTACTAGCACATAACGCACTCTACACGCCCTATTTCCATAGATCAACAGCAACAGAGCGAGGAGGACCAGCCTGATACAAAAATTTACAGTTCAGACCACTGGAAACCACGGCAACCTGTATCACTCCCTAGTGTCAGAAGTAAGAACGTGGATGTGGGAGAAAAATTTGTGTTGTGGTTCTTCATACAGGCCATAGTAGCATTCAGACTGCGGCTCACACTGGGCTGGTGGGCGCATATGCGTTCACGTAAAAGAGATGATGAAGTATAATACGCACACCCAAAGCACCTGGCTGCTATGCAGTAAGCCTAATCAGCATCTGTCTGCTTATTCAGCCTAGAGCAGTAAAACCCCACCAATTCATGCTGAGGTTATAAAGTTTTAGCTGTTGGCTGCTTTTTGAATGATGCACAATACACAGGGCTGAGCCAATTAGAACTGATCCAATCAGAACTGAGCTCAGTTACACATTGTTGTTTGCAAATTATGTTTTTTAATTCTCTAAGTGAAATTAATTACACATTGTCTACACAGAACACACTTCTGCACATTTTAATGCGTAATCACTGTTTATTTGCTGAATTTAACATATTGGAAAGAAATAAAACATAAAATAACACAAAATGTGGCCTGTGCAAAAGTTACTGCATATTTTATATTTTATGTTTTGCATTTCCAGCATGTTAAACTCAGCAAATGAATGGAAAAGAAAAACCATTTTAACAGTTGTTCCTGGTAGAGGATGTGCTAACTTATTTTCAGCAAAAAAACATAATTTGGCAGGGGATGTTCAAACTTTTGCATGCGACTGTATATCAGTCTTAAAGGCACATTAACAAAAACAATTTATATAAATCTAGGGGATGCTATATAATGCTTATATAAAAATGAGCAAAAAATGAGTGGGAGCATGTTTGCCCCTATTCAATTCCTATTTTTTACATATTTTTTACTTACATATTACTTTCATAGTACCTACCAAATTATGTATAGTAGGAACTCAACATTAACCTGTATGGTGTTCAGGTCTGTGGGACCCATTTTCACTGTTTACCAAAAGAAAAAATGATGCAATTTATTATTATTTCAACCTTAGATTCCTTAGCCTTTGCTCATTTTCTGTGAAGAACATAGAAAATAACACATTTTCAGTGCCTTCACACTGTTCACCCCCCACACATTTATATTACACATGTGGTGTTGGGCTGAACCCACAGGGAATAAAAGCGTGGAGGTGCTGTGTCCTTCACTCTGTTCTCCTCCTACATGGCCTGCTGTTAGTGTGTTTATGTGTGTATGTGTTTGTATGTGTGTGTGTGTGTGTGTGAGGGTGGACAACATGGACAGGCTGCTGACTGGCTACAGCTGCTAAAGGAGAACCCTACGCTGGCCACTTGTGATATTTTAAACATCTGGTATTTTTTACATAAATTGTTATGGCTGCGTTGATAAAAAAATACAATAATGTGGTGAGTCCACCAGACCACTGAGTAACAAAAACATCAACACCACACAAGGTTTAAGTCATGAGTTAATCCATTCTTGTAGGAGGAAACCTATCAATATTTGTCCCATCACTCAGAATCACCAGCATTATGAACTATAACAATATAGAATAAGCATCAAAACTACAGTGCAATATCACTCTTACAATAATTGAATAATAAGCTTGTAGTTTAACATTAAAAGAATTATTACATGTGAATAACCATTTAAGCTTGAGACAACTTTAGTGTTGTCTTTTCGTCTGTTTCTTTTTTATGACACGCAGACAAATACAAACCCGTGGGGGGACGTACCCAGGACAGGAGGAGCAGATTGCATTTCAGTGTGCCGCAGTAGCCCACCATGGCCACGATGATTAGAAAACAGCACACTGCGATGACAACAGGGTGGACAACAGGGGAGTACGTGAGGATCGCTGCCTCTTCCAGCCTGAGACAGAGAGAGAGAGGGAGAGAGAGAGAGAGAGAGAGAGAAAGAGAGAGAGAGAGAGAGAGAGAGAGAGAGAGAGAGAGAGAGAAGGAAAGAGAGAGGAACAGGGGAGTCATTCCTTGGCAGCCTTTTTGTTTATTTATCAATCCATCCTGCTTGCCCCCCACCCCCAACCTCCCCCTCACTCCTTCTCCATCCTCTTCTCTCCCCGAACGGCATTTTTATTAATCCACCAGTTGCAAGTAAATAGTGATTGCACTCAGTAGGAATGCAAGCCTCCTGACACTTTCTCACTCTCTCTCTCACTCGCTCCCTCTCTCTGTCTACCTCTCTTGCCCTCTTTCTCACGTCTCAATGACACATTACTGTATTCACCAGGGGAAGGTGTGGGAATGTTATGTTTGTATATCGCAGCTAATCATGGGTCAGTTTGCTGAAGGATAGGTGTGAACCACTCACGACCCCTCTCCTCCCTTCTCCCCCCTCTCCCTCCCCTCACCCACCCACACACAGCACTCACTCTTCCACAAAACCCCCTCATTTTTCACTTCCTCTTTTTTTTTTTGCACTGTGGGATGTCTTCTCTCTCCAGAGAGAGGTTCCTAATGGCCCTCGAAAACATGCACCCACACACACACACATGCAGAGACCGGATACATACACTGGTATGAAGCTGAAATCCTGCACTCAGCTGTTATATCATTATGTGGTATTCATTCAGTGCAGATGAGATTTTTATTGCTGCAGAATGGAACTGAGTCAGCGAGTCAGGAAGAGGCAGCTTTGGAAGGCTCATTTCGCTATATGCAATCACGTCTCCATGCATTCCCCTCTCGGTTTATTTGCAGACACAGGCCTGGCCAAGCTCAGTGAGATTCTGCACTGATTAAATAGTACCTTACAGTACTGAATTACACCTGAAGAAGCACCAATCTTCTCAATTAGAGATGTTACTCATTCTAACCCCACCTGAGGTGTTCGTTCAGGGTCTGTAGCATCAATGACTCTCACTGTTCCGCTCATACATATGCATGCAGGTTCTCCTCTATCTGCACTTGCATTTATAAGGCTGCAAAAGGCAGAACCTGATCTCAGATCAGCAGAGTAATTCAGTAAGTGTTCCTCATTAAAGCAATAGTTTGGTGTAAAACCAAATTAACTCCTTACGATGAAATGTAGTCAATCATCTTGAACATCTTGCTGTCAGATTGAAGTGTGTTTCTTTGAACTGCTAAAAGCCAATTCATTCATCAAGGTACAAGCAATGTAAAGGTCCCCTTAAAGGCGAAACAGTGGTTTTAAGACCTAATTGTGTACCTTAAATAAGTTTTTTTTCCAGTGGAAAAGTTCATATTTGTACCTTTTCATAACCTAATGTTTTAAACAGAGCAATAAAATAAAAAGCCTGGGGGCGAGACGGGGTGTGTGGAGCCAGTACAACTTAGAAAATATCAATACAATGGATTATGGTACAGTTATGTTCCCTGACTAAACGTACTGGGATGTACCGTTAAGGGTCCCACCTCCGTGACAAGAGGGGTACTACCCCAGTGATGGTTTCCGACCTTTTTTTCTGAGAGTGTATGACCAAAGGTATGTGGACACGCCTCCTAATTATTGGTGTTTCAGTCACACCAATCGCTAACAGGTGTGTAAAATAGCCATGCAATCACCATAGACAAACACTGACAGTTGACCGGGTTATACTGAAGAGCCCAGTGACTTTAAACGTAGCTCTGTCACAGGAAGCCACTTTGCCAAAAGTGGTGTAAAGCACACTGCCCCTGGACTCTGGAGCACTGGAAAAGTGTTCTCTGGAGTGATGAATCACGCTTCACTATCTGGTAGCCTGATAGATAATGGGTTTGGTGGAGGAGGGATAATGGTCTGGGGCTGTTTTTCAGGGTTTGGGCTGGGCCCCTTAGTTCCAGTGAAGGGTAATGTTAATGCTACAGCATATAAAGGCATTTTAGACTTTAGATAATTAGATGCTTACAACTCTCGTCCAACATCAGTGCCTGACCTCATAAATTCTCTTTTGACTGAATGAGCACAATTTCCCACAGACACACTCCAAAATCTTGTGGAAAGCCTTTCCAGAAGAGTGGAGGCTGTTACAGCCTCAAAAGTAGTGGTCACCTCCATATGTGTATGGTTTTGCAATGGTATGTCCACCAAGCTATTATAGGTGTACTGGACAGGTGACCAAATACTTTTGACTGTATAATGTAACTAACAAGTAAACATGCTTATACCCTACCAATTAGCATGTCTCAAACAGACTTGCTTATTTGGTGTCAGACAATGTATTAAACATCGTTAAGTTTAAAATGTAACATACTGTTACATATAAAAATGATAAAAACAGTCGCATCACTAAAATAGCACTATTGAACGATGCTAATTGTTTTTCATAAGCTTTCATTATGCTATATACTTTATGGATGCAAAAAGGAAAACTTTCGGTTGCTTACAAATGCCCATTTTGGGAGCAGCACTGAGCCAGTAAAGCAGTGCAGCTTGGGGTAGCAGAGAGGAACTTAAGTGCCTTGCCCAATGGCATAACGAGATGTATTCTTTCAGCCCTAGGATTTGAACCCAAAACCCTCGAGCTTACAGCTTACTTCACCTACCATTAGGCTACCAGCCACCCTATTATCCTTGTAGCCATAATGCAAAACTTAAGATGACACCATTTCGTTAAAAAGAAAAACTGCATTTAATTTTTCACTTAAATGCTGCTAAAAGACTGATGATCCATCAACGCAGCTGGGCTTAAACAGAAATGATGTTTACTGGCTGAAGTGTGACTTGATAGTTGGATTTGGAATGCTTGACTGATTCAAGCAGACAGGGCGCTTCACACCTGCCCCTCTCGGAGGCCCTCACCTGGTGTCAGCGGTTAAGGTGAGTACATTGTTCAGGTAATCCCTAAGCCACGCAGCCACTCCCAACACACACAGAGCCATGAGCTGAGGAGAAACAGAGAGAAAGCAGCTTTAGTGCATGACCACACACGTACAGTTATGTATCCCATGAATCCCCGACAATCCGCAGAGCCCCCCTCAACACTGTTTGTACATGCAGTTGCCTTGGGAGCCTATTTGCGTCTAGTGGAAACGACTGACACATTGAGATATGAGTAGTAGTTCGGGCACCCGTTGGCATTCTTGGTCCTGAAAGTGACACCCTGCACCCATCATCACATCTAATTCCCTAAAAATAGTGTGCTGCAGAATGTGAGACTGGCTGGTTGAGCTTCAAGCTGCCTACATACAGATAAGGGGTGTGTGTGAGTTGGGGGAGGTGGTGGGGGGATAAATGGGCCCCTCATTCTGTGTGTGCAGTGTTGAGTTGGGCAAAGCTGAACCCTCTGTAACGTGAGCGCGCACCCGGCCACCTGCTGCTGGGCTTGGACGTTTTCCCACCCGTATTCCGGCAACGCCCGCCCACCTGCTATGGGACTGGCTAGTTGTATCTGGCGCCCTGCGCTAGGATTGGCTAGTAGTTCAAACTCACAAGCAACATTAATAATTTCCACATAAACAAAATACATCAACACAAATATAACAACTTAAGAATGCTTTATATGAGCTAATTAATTAATTGCTAACTACATTAACCGTGACATAAGTGTGATGACGTAATTGTATTACTGTGGGAATGATATGCACTACTTTATCCGTTGCACGAAGCGAGATGCTGCTAGCCAACCAGCGCGCGGAGCGCGACACTCTTAGCCAATCAGCGCACGAGGCGGGACACTACCAGCGCAGGAGGCGCGGACTGCCGGAAAACGGGCGGGAAAAAAACTCAACCAGTGTTGCTTGAACGTGTTCTTACCCAGAAGAGTAAGTTGAGAGCGTAGAGCAAGCAGCGCAGGCACTTCACCGAGTCCTCCCGGGCCATGGCGCGCGCACCGACCGACGCTCCGCGGCCGCGTGCCACATTTCAACTGGACACGAGTGGACGGTGCCGGGGCGCGCGTGCCAAGTTGACGTTCCACTCGAGCACGTTAAAACTCAGCAACAGGTGACCCCCGCCAAACTTTCCTGCCCCCCAAAGTCCGACACTGCTCAAACCAAGCGCGCAGTCAGCCCAGTTGTTTTGATTCAGAGTGATGACGGCGCAGCTGGAAGTGATCGATAATCCTCGTGCAGGGTAGCATGTTCAGCAGCAGGCGCCTCTAAAGTCTCGCGCTCAACCATCTAATCCAGCGCCAAAAGTTGAGGTGCGCTGCGTGTCCGTGCTGTGAAAGGTGCGCTGCTGACCGGTCCCGTCTCCCGGACTTTAAGGGGGACTGGACGCGCCGTGTGGAGAGACTCTTCCTTCCTCCGGGTCCTAAAGGCGAGCCGAGGACCAAACTACAAGCCCAAATCAAGACAGCTGGAGTTTTAGAGCAGTGAGGAATGCAGCCAGCTCTCCGCCTCCGAGAGAGAGAGAGAGAGAGAGAGAGAGAGAGAGAGAGAGAGTGTAAGGGTGTGAGAGAGAAAGGGACAGTGTGAGTGTGAGAGAGAGAGCGAGAGAGAGAGAGAGAGCCTGCAGAGGGTTAGGAGGTCAGATCTGATGTGCATATTAGAGTCTTTAGAGACAAACTGAATCGGCCACTGGAGAGGAAAGTGTAATGATGGTGACTACAGGCCTTCACACTATAGGAGTTATATATAGAATAATGACAGAGGTTATAATAGCTCATACTGCTGATTTTTACCTGAAAATACTCATTGTACTTTAAAAAAAAGTGATATATTAAATTTATTTGATTCAAACATGCAGTCATGTGCAAAAGTTTGGGCGTTCCTGGTCAAATTACATGTTTTGTTGATTTTCTAGGTGAAAATAAGATAACAAATCATCTACAGAGAACGCACTTCTGCACATTTCAAAGGACAACTACATTTATTTCTTTGCTGATTTTAACATATTATATAAAACACATAAAATGTGGCCTTTATTTATTTATTTATTTATTTATTTTTTGTGTTATTCCTTTGTCCAGTGTGCTAAAGTCAGCAAACAAATAGAAACTCTGCACTACAATGTGCAGAAAAATGCAGTATTTAAGTGTGTTCTCTGTGGAGGATGTGTTAACTTATTTACGCTTAATAATCAACAAAACATGTCATTTGACTGGAGGTGTTCAAACTTTTGCATATGACTGTATACATTATTTCCACATTAATAACATATATCACAAACACTATAAACAGTAAACTGAAAGACAACATTATGTTGAGGTAATATTTAATTCATGTGGAAATGATGTACATAAGTAGATGACTTCTATCAGTGTGGAGCCCCCTGTGAACTCCTACCACATACCTGCTCCAACTGCTACAGACAGGCCACTCAGCCACTAAAGCTTTTTAGAGCAGGTATGCTGTGCACAACAGGTTATTCCCAGTACTGAGTTTGGGTAGAACTGCAAAAGCGTACCTGTATTATAGCCCTATATTACCTATACTATAAAATTTCCTATATCATGCTCAGTTTGGGTTCACATATCAGTTCTAGCACTACTGGCCACAGTGTTTTTGCAGTCTAAAGTCAATAGAAGTAGCAATTAGCAGCAGTAGGCCAACAACCTAAATTACTGATAATGACAAACAACTGTATTATAACCGCACAGTCTAGGCTACTGTCCATAATACAAAATGATTAAACCGTTAAACCAATCATGCTGTTCATGGAAAATGTCTCGCAATGCCAGTATTTCTGACTATGAACCGTGAATTAAGAGACTTACTGGAATATTGTGCTTATTTGTTTGAAAAATGAAAAACGCTGATGTTGTGGTGAGGTTGAGCATTTGCAGGACAATCTTGAATGAAGTTTAATACAATGCAACATACAGTAGCAAAGACATAGGTTTGATAATTGAATTAATACCATATTCATCTTGTTTATCTTTATCATACACAACCACTGAAATGCACAGTAAAATCACAGGTACACATACACTGTGGACATTGGACATTATGTTCAGTATTGTTGGTGATTTTGCTGCACAAAGACCTTTGCTATAAATACATCATTAGAGAATCTGTGTTCTTTCTCAGAAGCCACCAGGGAATATTTCACAGAGCCAGACAGCTTAAAGGGGAATTCCACAGATTTTTCAAAATTTCTGCATAAATAAATGAATCAGATGTAAACATGACGCCTGGTTCCTATATATTCATATATATATATATATATATATATATATATATATATGTTCATTGATTTACTGGAGTCACAGTTCTCCAGTAAAAGATAAGGATAGCACTGTTGTGTATTGACTGTATTGACCGTAAATAGCTGTTGTCAGGCCCAAACTTATATTACACTCATCTATAACTTAAGGATACAATCCATAATTGTTGCTAAAGATGGGTTAAAAAATGTTGTTAATTCAGTCATCCTCCCTCTGAGAATATGAGATAAATCAACATTTAATTGCAGAAAAAATATTTTAAGAAAACAAAAGCCACATATCTCACAAATATTGGCACCCCTGCATTCAGAGTATTAGAATCGCCCATTGCCAACTTTACAACAATCTAAATGGTAGATTTCTCTCATAATTTCAAAACAAAGTCACTCAGAGTGGTTTGATGTGAAATGCTCCTTTTTAGAGAAACTTACCGAGTCTGAATTGTTCACAGTGGTGGTGATGAGAACCAGACATACATTGAGTTTAATGCCTCTAAAAGCTACATCACAGGAAGCTATTATATGAAATGGCTAGAAAAAACACTGTCTGACACCTGAGACACTGTTTTACAATAGTTTGTGATAAGTTTTTAGCCTACAATTTATATTTTAAATCTATTTATGGTGGAGATGTACATGCAGTGTGTTGTGAAGCAAAATAGCCCCCGAAGGAAACTTATTTTTTCAGGTTCATCTCTATTTTACCATCATCAAAATTGCATAAGAACTGTATAAAAGACATTTGTGGGTTCACTGGTTGGTTTGGTTGGTAAATAAAGTGGCTGTATATGCACTGTAGACATTGCCACCCCTTGTTCCCATTATCACCATTTTGAAAAAAAAAAATGCACTAAGCTTCTCTACAATTCACCATTTCACATCAAACAACTCAGAATGACTTTCTTTACATCTTGTCCGATGAATTATGCAGAATTGTTTGGAAATCATCATATTTATCATATTTTCTACCCATTTTTATCAACAGTCCATGCAGTTACTGAATAATAACCTTTAATGTAATAAGTCTAGGACGTTGAAGTAGGCAGTAAAACAGCTAGATCATATTACACTGGACACACCGGCTCCATACCGTCTATGGTTCACCATTACTTTGCACTGTTTACAGTGTTTACTGAAACACCCGCATTAGTACCTTGAAGTCAGTCCAGTGTTCCTCTGTTTTAAAAGGCCGGTCTTTGTCTATGCAATCAAGACTAAGAATGAAGCTTTTTGTTGCTACATACAACTTCAAATATAAACCAAGGCAGAGGACGTGAGGGTGTCTGCAAATGAAGTGTCATTCGCTGCTGCCCTCTTCAGGCTGATCTTGGACACTCACATCTACTGCTCCCCTTCTCTCATCTAAACCTGTTTTTGTCTCTTTTTCTTTGCCTGGCCTTGAGATTTCTATGGAGAATCTATGAGGCCTGTGTGTTATTCACCAATATTGATCCATGACATCTTTTTGACTTTAAATGAAACTGCTGCTACCAGCAGCTGTCAGGATTAGTTCTTTGAAATTCATTTGCAAAGCATTGATCGCTGCTTTGTGCATGTTTATACTACAAAAGCTCTGAAGTGAGTCCAGGTCTTTGGGCTATAGTTTAAGCCTGACACTGGAATTTAACCTTTCCGTGCAGAATATACCATTTACATGCAATTTCTTGCTGTAAAGTCTGTTAAAGTAATTTTGATGGCATAGGCTTCAGCTGGACAGAACAAGTCAGCAGGAGTGGGATAAGCCACTGTTCGAAACAGCATACTGCATACTGTATACTGCACATTAGGGGTGGGAATCTCTAGGCACCTCACGATTCGATTCGATTACGATTCAGAGGGCTGCGATGCGATTATAAAACGATTATCGATGCATCTCCATGCATCTTTTTTTTCTATATAGCATTTATATTTTCTCACTGTGTGAGCTCAAGTTTCGAGTTCAAGTTTCAAGTTTATTTGTTATTTGTACAACATGTCAGGACATTTATGCATTGAAATGCTTGTGGGGAGGCTCAGCTAATCACTCTACAGAAAGTAAATAAGTAAAAATAAAAATACAAGAAAAAACAACTGAAATATATTAAATATACACAGAATATAGAGACAATATACATTTTAAAGTGACTAAGTGACTCAGTGTTATTGTTATTTAAAGTGACCTGGTACTTTTAAAGCAAAGTATTTGTAATGATCCATAATGAATTTACTTCTAATATCTTTTTTAATAAAACAAATGGAAGTGATGTGGCAAGTGAACTGGAAGGCTCTCATTCAGTGCTCTTGTTTGGAGCACGCAAAGCTGCTGCTACTCATCTGCGATAAAATGCGCAGTTACGGTGACGTAAGATCCAGTGGCAGTGGATGTCCACGCAGCACATGTTACAGCTATTCTACCCGTTTTCTTTAGTGATTTTATAACTTCGGTTGTGGTCTCGTTGTAGAGACAGGGGGGATCGCTGTGTCAGTAAAATATCTACAGGTCGTGTGCAACATAGCGCGAAAGCCCTGTTTCGCAACGACTGAGAACTGGCGTGCAGACTGCAGGTCACATAGCAGCGATGCATTATTTGCATTTATAAGCAGCGCAGTTGGTTTCCTGGTACATTAAATCTGCAACAAAGGACTGTCACACACTAAAAAGTGGCGAAGCTGAAGTCAGCTTCTCTTTCGAATTCTCCTGTTCCACCTTAAATGGTGCCGCATTTACATTCGGT